TGTTTGTGAGGAATACCCAATGGTGATTGTTATGGAGGGGGAAGGTGGGTGGGGTGTGAGGGTGAGTGTTTACTTTTTTGAATACTGCAGTTGAGGTCGGTAGAGCTGGAGCAGGCGCACTTGATCACTCAGTTGAGGAAGGAGCGGCTGTGATTCAGCACTTGCTGGTCGTGCCTGCTGTGAGGTGAGGTGAAGCACAGCAGCCGCAGGCACCCCTTTGTGACCGCACCAGATGGGACCTAACTAGAGTTGCTTTGAAGGTAATTTCTAGCGAAGAACGGAAATTGTCTGATTCTTGTGGCTATGATGATTGTTGTTTCGTGAGTGCCATCTACCTTACCTCATAGCCTTGGTCCCATTGGGGAGGATATATGGGAACTGATCCCACTGCAGGCGAAAGGGGATGCCGTGAGATCATGGGCATTTTGCAGTGGATATAGCTGAACAGCACCTATTTATATTCGCTTGAATCCTCACCTCTGTCATGTTACGCCTGCTCGCCAATATCGTTCACTTTATGTGACATCGCGACGGCTAGGCTTGCCTCCCTGCACTCCATCTCTTACCTCTCTTACCCTTTTCTTCGCCAATTTTGGCGATGAGGCATTAGTCAATGGGAGTGAACAGAGTGCCGTCACCTGTCTCCCAATGAGTCAAGTCTGCGCTAGAGTCACTCGTTAACCTTGGACTCACCCCTTTCCATGGCCGTTCCCATTGATCCATGCTGAAGAGAACCTGTTGGCAAAGTCCATCGCTTACCAGGCCGCGAACTCTGCAAGGAATGAAGATGATGCTCGTGGCACTATGCCTGACGTCTGTCTAGCCCGGCAGGCTTCATGACTTTGAGTATCAGTATGCCACCCGCAAAACGCTTACAGCTGATCATCACAATCCAAGACTAGCTCACCCAAGACAGGCTCCATGGCAGAACCAATCACTAACTCCGAGGTACAGTATCTGTCTACAGAGCAGTATAATCTTTGCAGGGGATAGGATCATGAAAGATCCGGCGCAACAGCAGAGGCGTATGTTTAGGTCGAGCCTCAAAGACGACTTGGTTTCGACCAACCTGGGGCTTTTGGCAAAGTTAGTGTATCGCGTCACCTCGTACTTGGGATCTCAATGTTGCAGCGTCTTGGTACGGTTTCGTCCATGATGCCCGGGAGCACTCACCGTTGTTCTTCTCAGCGAACCAATTCGTCTGCAGGGCATTGGAGCCTTCTGTCTCGAGCTGATCTACAGGCGACCATTGGACTAAGCTGATGTCTCAATGTCAGCTTCATCTACGTCGACCGCAGGCATCATTCGCAAGTTGCACGGATCTTTCAAAGCACTTGCCATGGGATCGCACTGACCTAGGCCTGGATAATGCCTGCAAGCAGAACACTCTTGGCAGCAATGAAATATGCCATAAAGTAACTATCAGTATCTCTTTTGCGTTATATAATAAAGGGCCATCGGGAAAAGCCAGGCTTGCTCGGCATGAGTTCGACGCCAGCACCTACGTAAGGCTGGGTTCGTCGTTCCCTCCCTCATTTCCATCAACTAGAACCTAGAGACATTTGAATTTGAACGAAATCGATGAAAAAGAAGTTCAGCGGCGAGAGCGGTGCGGCGTGGAGCCAGTCTGCTATCTAGCTGGCTAACATCTGCATTGCTTGTCCGTCTGGTGGCGTTAACAACGTTGCGACAGCAACATAAGTCTAAATGAGTTTCGCATTCAGGCTTAAGGCAAAACGATGTGACAAACAGTACTACGTTAGGTTTTTGTGAACATTGTGGCGTTGAGTACTTTCGTAGGTGAAAAGACCATTTTGCAATGTTGTGAATTGAACAATGTCAAAAACGCACTTGAAAAATCACCCACAACCACACGATCACTTGATTAGTGTGAAAACTTCCAAATTGAATTCAAAAGCAGTTAGAACTATAATCCTATAATTATTTATGGCATATCTACAGGCTGTGGTCGATAAATCATGTCGACAGCCCCGGGCGAGGTTGATCTGCCTGGCTCCACACCGCGTCCAGAATCAACAACCACGACTCAGACACACATCGCGCACCACACATGAGCGATTGCAACAAGATTGTAGTACTCTTTATAATTCGTCGATTAATACGTTCAAAATACCCTAATCTTCTCATCACTCCCCCAAAACCCATTTCAAACCCTTCACCATTCCCTCCTCCGCCCTCCTCGCCCCCTCCAGCCCAGGCGCCTTCACCCAAAACGTATGCGGCCACCCCTCCACCACCTCGACCTCAACCTCGACCCCCGCCTCCCTCATCGACATCGCATAACAAACCCCATCCCCATACAGCGTATCGTTACTACAAACCTGCACCCAAACCCTTGGCATCCCCATCCCGCGCACCTCCTCCACCCCGACCTCCAACGGCAACCTCTCCAGCCCGTCCCGCGGCGCAGCCCTCTTAAACACCGGCAACAACGTCGTCTCGAACGCGGGTGTGGCCGTGGTATATGCACCCCTCAACCACTCCGGCACAAACCCCACCGACGTGCCCCCGTCCGCAGTGACAGGGCAACGCAGCACCACGCCTTGCAGACTCCCCCGCGGAACAACCTGCGAGACCGCAGCGGCAAGCTGTCCGCCGCTGCTGCTCCCAACCACAACGACCCTCGCCTCGGGGACCAGGGCCCTGACATACATGAACGCATCCACCGCGTCGCGTACGCAGGTCGCGGCAGGGACGCCGGGCATGAGCCGGTATCCGACAGAATACACTGTGGCGCGCACGCCGTCAACGATCCAGCGGCATGAGAGCTCCTCGCTGTCCGCCTCGCCGACGCAGAGCCCGCCGCCGTGGAAGTAGACCACCGCCACGTCTGAGGTTTCATTCCGCGGGTCCGAGAAGCGGAGGATGGGGATCGGGAAGGCGTTGAGTGTGGAGGGGGCCGTGAGGTGGGTTTTGGAGATGCGGGCGAGGTGGTGAAGGGGTCCCGAGGGCGCGAGCATATCTGCGGTGGTGCGGCGGCGTTCTTCAGCATAGACGGGCTGGCGGTCTAGAGGAGAGGCGTAGGTTTGCTTGGGCGCTCTGAGGTTGGCTGCTTCTTCGTGCTGGAGCCATTCCGGGTCGAGGGGAGGCGGCTGTTTGAGAATCAGATGAGAGAGGGAGTCCATGTTGGAGATGAGGTAGCAATTAGTTTCAATAATGCTGGATAAGGTCAATCACAGAGGAAGGTTGAGCAGGGACACGATGAGGGACCATGCACTTTATGAGCTGGATGAGGCCGGCGGAGTGGGGTCGGTGTCCGGGTTGTTGATGGCGCGGTGTCCCGCTTAGCCGGGAGTAGTGCCGGAAGCGGATGAGACGTCCAGCCTTATCTGGTGCATCACGGCGAGGTTTTGCACTTCATGAAACGGCCTGGCCATCTCCGGAGCCGTCTCCGAGATTGCCGCCGTGATTTGGGACCGAGTAATCCAACCCGGCGCGGTAGCGAAGCTCAACGTCAGTTACCGCCGAGCAAGCCTGAAAACTCCGAAGGCAAAATTCAGCCGTGACAACCGAGCCGTTCGCTGGAAAAATATGCACTGCATGGCAAGAAAGACATCAGGCAGCGCAGAATACAACATGGTACACAAGGTCGATATTAGTGTCCTTTGGGTTGATTCCGTCCCCTTGGACCGATCGCCTATCTACAATGCTAGAGTACACAAAGGGAATCGGTGGGCGAATGCGTCTATAGCACAGAGAGATCGCCGAACTTCTCCTGCAGAGGGTATTAGCTCCGTCACTCGCGAAAACACGGATTGACCGTACCTTGTATCCCGGCACGGACCAGCGGCCCTTGGAAACGAGCTGGGAGGTCTTCTCGTCGATCGAGGGCTCGGCGGCGGAGACTTCGTCCTGTAATCCTCATCAGCATCCACCTCTCGTCCCGCATCTCCCGCGGGTGCACATACGACAGTGAGGTCCTCGAAGGGACGGGCGGTCTCGATGTTGGCGAGGGTCTTCTCGAGGTCCTTGAGCTCGAGGTCGACCTTGTCCTTGGTGGCCTCGGCGTTCTTCACGGCCTCAACCTCGAAGGCCTCGATGGCCTTGACCTGACGGGCGACGTCGTAGCTGGCGGGCTTGAAGGCGGTGAAGCGCTTCTCGATCTCGTCGATGACGGCCTGGTTCTTGAGGACGGAGCGGTAGTGGGCGAAGTCGACGGTCGTGGGGAGCTCGGAGAGGGTCTGGACCTTGCGGCGGGCGTCCTCGTTGCGCTTCTTGAAGGCCTGTAGGGAGGCGACGGTCTGGCCGCGAAGGCCGAGGGAGGTCGTGACCTTGGCCCAGTCGAGCTTCAGAGCTGCGCTTCGCTGGAGGGAGAAATTAGCTCAGGGTTTCCCTTAGGCGGCTCGGAGTTGCGGGTGCGGTGCGCGGGGTTTCAATTGGAGGGCGAGGGCAGGAATTGCATCAATCGGCGACTGGGTATCGGTCGGGTTCGATGGGGGATACGTACTGCGGCCATTTTGGAGGATGTGTTGAGGGTTCGGGGGAGTGGAGAGGGAGTTGCGTCGTCGTGAGAATGCTTGATTGACTTTGCCGAACGGAGAGGCAGAGAAAGAGCCGGGATGAACTGGGTCACACTTTAGATCACGTGATGCGCGCACGGCTGCGAAAGCCGGTTCGGGCGGGAGCAAACGGGTCGTGGTGGGGCAAAGCTTCCGCTGCGAATTCGGTTTGCAGGATGCGATCGAGGGGTAAGGCAAGGAAGGCAGAGCTGGAGGTCGCAGTCATAAAATTCTCCATTATTCGCAACGACCTCAATTGAGCAAGGATATGCAGCACGGACAGCTTCACGTATCACATCACAAGAATTGACATCACTTAGGCAACGGACAGTTCGTCAATTATCATGACCTCTCATTGCGCATGAGACTTTTGGAGTCAACTCCTTGGGAATTGTACATGCCAACCCATATCCGTCCTTTTTGTGTGTTTGTCGCGTCGAGAATTCGAGATAGAGATGTTTTCACCCGCACTGGATGTCGCTAGATGCTCAATGCCATAATCGAGTTGACAATGTCGTTGTCATTCTCCTTCAGGGCCTTGATGGCCTTCTTCCGGCTGACGTTGGCCTGGGTCATGACGAGCTCGATGTCCTTGTCCTCAATGCCCTCGGCGTCAACCTCCTCGCCGTCATCCTCCTCCTCCTCCTCCTTCTTGGCATCAGCCTCGGCGGCCTTGCTGGGCTCAGCGTGGCTGTGGCCGGCGTGGTCGTGCTCACCACCGGCAGCGGCGAGCTGCTGGGCGGCAGCCTGCTGGGCGGTGGCGTTGAGGTCCTCGATCTTGGCCTCACCGAAGACGATGTAGGTGTTGCTGTTGGGGGACTTGTAGACCTCGGGGTTGTTGATGACGAAGAGGATCTGTGTCGGACGTGGGTCAGCCTTGTCTACCCCTCCAACGATTGCACCACCCCTCATTCCCTCTCTCGACAAGGTCTCAACTCACGTTCTTCGGGCGGCGCAGGGTGACGCGGGTGATGCCCTGCACTCTCGTCAGGTGCAGCTTCTCGAGGGCCTTGCGGGCCTTCTTCTCGTTGCGGGAGTGGATGACGGCGGTGGAGCCGGAGGGAAGGCCCTCAGCATCCTCGCCCTCAACCTCGGAGTCGGAGCTCTCGTCCTCGTGCTCCTCGACGGAGACCTTCTTGGTCTCGTCATCGGGAAGCTCTTCAACGCGGGGGTTGGCCATTTTGTCGACTGCAAACGATGGTGTTCTGGTCAGCTGCGGGGAGTTCTTGCAATTTTTCTGAGTTGGGTAGCGTGGGTGGTGGTGGTGGTGGTGGGAGCTAGGATCGCGCAAACGGGGAAGCTTGATTTGGCGAGCGAGCTGCTACGTTGTGTGGGAAAAAGGGAAATTGGGCCGTTTCTCTTCGCACAAAATTGTGCGCAACGTTCGCGGGTCGCTCCAACATGATTTTGACGCAAAATTCGAGACGCAGACGAGCTGCACTCACCAAAGTTTAAAACGAGGGATCCTCAACTCGACGTGGGGTGAATTGTTCGGTGGCTGTGTGGTTTGCAGGAAAGATCGTAGAGAAATTCTAGGGTTAGCCGAACACCCTCTGGATCGCAGTGACTAAAGCGGGGTTACGTAAGCAGACCACTCCCCTCATGGCGTCCAGATTCCCCAGATGCAGATGCGTGGAACTACGATGCAAGGCCGCAGCACATGAATGACATTCTGGTACCTCTGGGCATTCATTTTCACAAGGCTGAAAGTCGCAAGAAATGCAGACAAATGGATCTGGACGTGTGCACGCGTGTCTGGGGGTTGATGTCTTGGCCGCGGAAGAGGGACGTCAAAATAGTGTCAAGATGATGATTTACAGTCGTCTCCGAACGAATAAAACAACTTTTTACTCCGTGTCCCCGTCACATGCCAACCAGTCTATTTTGTATGATCTTGATTGTGCCATGAATTCATTTTTGTGTCTCTGAATTTCCGTATTTGACGCCGGTCATCACGATTGATGATGATGAATGTGACATACAGCCCTTCCAGTTACGGAGCAAAAGAGAAGTGCAGCAACCCAATGCTGCAATGGAGATGCAGACCAAACCGGATTTCCCATGCTGTCACGCTCTAAACCAGCCCCGTAATCTTCAAAGTCAACCCTCCCTTTTCGATAGAATTCCCCAATCGCAAGGTGTGTGTCGTGTGTGAATTATCCATCTTACGCGGCGGCCTTGACCTTGACGAGCTCCTTGCGCTGCTCGAAGCGGCGCTGCTTCTTGAGGCGCAGGACCTTGAAGCGGTCGAAGTCGGACAGGTTCTTTCTTCGCTCAATCTGGGTGCTGCGCTTGAACCAGTTGGTCTCCTTCCACTTCTGGTCGATCTCGGACTTCTCCCAGAACTTCTTGACGGTGCCGGTGCGGGCGCCGCGGGGCAGGTTCTCAACCTTGAGGGAAGACAGGAGGGCGTTGGAGAGGGAGATGGGTTGGCGGGGGACGGCGAGCTTGGGGTCTGAGGAGGGACCGTCGACCAGAGCCTGTGCGCACAGAGTCAATTTCCATTCATTCCTGTTTCCCGGCGTATTCCACCACCAAATCCCAAGACTGCAAACTCGAGGCCTGATCGTTCGTCGCCGGGGGGAGAGGGATTCAACGTACGCGCTTGTGGTCGATGATCTCGACGATGGTCGCGAGGCGGCCGGCGTAGGGGCCGTTGCCCTGGAGAAGGACGACGCGGCCGACCTCGACCAGTCGCCACTTGGAACCCTCGATGGTAGCGTCACCCATTTTGCTGGTCGGTCTAGATGTCGGGAAGATGCGGTGTCAGAAGAGGTTTCCTTTTCCTTTCGGGGAGTGCGATCGAGAAGTTGGGATGTTGTTGGAGGTTGTCTTTTGTCTGGGGGGAAAAGGAGGGGCGCGCGTCGACTTACCAGACGTCAAAGATGTGCTGCTATGGTTAGTGGTGTAGTCCTGATGAGGTTCCGCTCGCGGTCGCAATTTTTCTGTTTTGGCGTGTGCGAAGCAAATTTGAGCCCTAACCTATCTATGGTGGTTTTTTGCCGGGTGGCCCGAGCTCGGCGGTGGCTTGGTTTTGCCGAGCCGACAATCAGCCGGCTCAATGTGGTCTAGGCGGGCGGTCAGCAAAATCGGTGATTTCCTGCCGTGCTCCACCGACGACAGTGATTTTTATTGCTTCGACGCGCGCGCAGAGCAGCTTTTTCCTCTCTCCCATCCATCACTGCAACAGCTTCGAGCTGGGAAAGAGCACAGCTTGGAGAGTCTGCAAGACAGAAGCAACGCGGCAAGCGTGTCATCAAAGGTATGTTTATATTTCCCTCCTTGCAAAACCGCACTTCCCTGGAATGATGAGAAAAATTTGCGATTGATTTCACTCGGTGGCCCTCTTTCGCCGGAGCGGCTATACTGTTTGAATACATGATATTCAATTCTTACATATTCTGACCTCCCACCCATTACTAACTTTTGATTGTCTGGCTTTCTTGAGAAGCAAGTTGCTAATCCAGCATCAGGTGGCAGTAGTATATCTCAATGCTAGCAAAATACATCACATCTCTGGACATTTCATCGCGCCTCACTCATGTGAATCTGTTTGCCGTGTATCTCGAGTGAAAGTGTATTTTGTTTCGTTCAATTCACCTATCAAGTCGTAATGCTCATGTTCCTAATGCCCTGCCAACGCCTTGAGAATTCGGTTCTGATCTATGCCTTGCCCTTGCGCCTCAGCTCCTCTTCCTCCTCGGCCTGGATCTGAGCGTCGATCTTGGCACCTCTGGATGGCTCGTTGCCATGGTCCTTGGCCTGGTTGTGGTCAGTGGTGATCGACGACGTTAGGGACCAGTAAACATACGGGAAGCGTGGGGTCGATTTTGCCCAACCGAACCTCTCGGTTATCATCGTTGTCATCCTCCTTATCCTTCTTCTAAAGCATTGTTAGTGACCGCCGGATAATCTGCATGCACTTCACGTACCTCCTCTGCCGCAAGTCTGTTGGCGATGGATCTCTCGTCCTCTGCAATGGTGTTAGCAGCGTCTGAAATTCTGACCGGAGTAAGAACATACTGGAGTCGGTGGCCTGGTGAGAATTCTCCTTGCCCTCCTCAAAGCGCTCAGCGTTATCAAGCTCCTCGTTCTTGTGGTTTCTCTGGTCGCCAGCCTCGTAGACGCCACTGGTGCCAACCTTGGAGTCGCCGGCCATTTTGGTGGTTTGGTAAGCTGTGCGGTGGAGGTGCGGGTGTTTTTTCTTGATGGATAGTCTGCGAGTAACAGAGTGCGGAAGATGAACAGAGTGCAGATTGGGGTTGTGAGAAATGAATCTGTGGTTGTCGCAGGCTTGCTCTTTCTATATACGGACACTTTGGTGAGGCGTTCTTGCCTGACTAGACACCCCACCAGTTACTTCATCTGCATCTACGTCATGACGTCTTCAGCGCCGATTCTCAGCTCAGACAGGCGCAAAGCTCCCTCCTACTACGTCATGCAACTGTCATTTGCTCCGCTGAACGCCTTGACAAAATCCGTTCCTGCCCAAACCACATGGGAAAATCGGCGATGCAACCGGAAGGTACGAAAGAGTTGGGATTGTGGTCGCGGCCCCAGGACTTGAGCGCTACCGTTGCTTTGTTGAGCCTACCTGGGCGGTCTCTATCAGATTTGCCCGGTTCGTCGCGTGCCTCAAATGACTACCCCTGCAAATAAAATCTTCAGATCTTAGATACGAAGGCTTGTGAAGGGGCGGTTCCTCCCGAGTACTTGCATTTGATCCCAACCTCAAGGTTGCGATTCGAGATGCTCTTTGCTGCCCCTAAATCATCCTGCACAAGATGGTAATGGTCACATACTGCTTTAGTGAAAACTGTGCGTGAGATAGGTAAGTACTCGGTGCGCCTGACAGGCCTGCCGTCGCAATTCCAGCATTGATGACGAGATCCAGCATGAGGGGAATTTGAGGCTCTGATTTTGACATCGTCCCTCGCCAGGCCCTGGGCCCCGGTGCATGAGCCACCAGCGGGTGCAGCTCCCAGCGCCGTCGCCAGGGGTAAGCGCGACAGAAACCCCGCCGTGCGTCAATTCGGCGTTGGTGTCCAGACCTGAGCGGGCGACCGGGATGACGTAACTTCGTGGGAGCTCTGGGAGCTCCACTGCCGACTTCATCGCATCGAGCTGCACGCCGCACCGCGCAAACAGCAACAGCGGATTCCGAAAAAACAACACCACCATCCCCAAACTTTCCATCAGCCCCGCCAAAATGTTCCGCTTCGTGAGTAGAAACCACCCCCGATTGATTGGCTCCGTGGCAAGCAGCTAATACCCCGCGCAGCACAAGACCCTCGACATCGTCACCCTCTTCCATAAGGCGAGCTCCCCCGCCTCCGTGAGGGCCGCCAACATCCTCAAGCAGGTCTCCGCCAACGCCGCCGCTGGCGCGACCGAGGACCAGGCCAGCGACCACAGCGTCCAGACGAACCCCATGAAGTCCCGCGCCGAGTTCGAGCTCAACATCACCGAGGAGAACCCCACCGCCGACCAGGTCAAGACCATCCTGGAGTACGTCGGAAAGAGCAAGCTGTCGTCCATCATCCAGGGCGCCTCGACCGAACAGGAGGCCCTGAAGAAGTTCCAACAAAATGCCGAGACCTTCCAGAGACCTGTGGTATGTGATCCCCTTTGACCTGGGTGCCTGTCGTGGATGTCCAAGAGAGCGCCTTGCCTGTTGCTGAACATACGTAGCTGATTGAGACTTGCAGATTGTGGACTGGAACAACGGCAAGGCTGTCGCTGGCGACAATGAATCTGAGATTCTCAAGATGCTCAATGCCTTGAACAGCAGCAAGAGCTGAGAGACAAGTGCTCTTTAGCACCTAGGCAGCGCCTTTGTCCCCCCCTGTATAATGAAATACCACAACCCATTGCGACTCTAGCAGTAGTTGAATGATGAACAGCTCTTCGGCAAATGCTTTTGTCACAGTTTACCTGTCTTAATCTTTTTCAGTCGACGTCGATCTCAATGTCCGAACGCCTTCATCCAAGTGTAGTTCCGACGGAGGGTGGGCGCTTGGGATTGGATCTGATCTGCCACTCTTGATGTTGAACCTGTTGTATCGAAATTGCTGGCTTGGAAATGGGATGGACAGAATCAGGTTCAAATGAGTTGGTACACTTCAGCAAAGGCGTCAGCGAGAAGGGATGCTGACCTACATGCTGTCTTTGACTTGCTGCAGCTTCCTTGCCAACTCGCAAGCATTGGTTGGTTCACTTGTGAGGCAGGTGGTGAGGAAGGAGAGTCGCATCATCACCACCTGCTTGATGCTGTCCTTACCGTTGTTGCTGCTGTCCCTGTTATTGCCACTGTTGTACCTGTCGCCCTTGTCGTCCTCGCTGCCCTTCATGTTGTCCTGCGTCTCCTCGATGATCCGAGTCTTTAGGCAGAAATTTCTTCACGCTTGCTTGTATTGCCACTCCAGGCTGGAAGGCTCTTTCCACCAGCTCCTTCCTGTACTTGCTCCTGCCGCCTCCCCACCACCCTGCCTCCTGCTGGTGCCTCCTGCTGCTCACCTTCTGCCTCGCGACGCGCTCGCTAGCTCCCACAGTACCACAATACCACGCAATTTCTTCCTCCTCGTCACAACAACACTCTCTCCATCCCACACACACACTCCTCTTTCCCCCTCCTCCATCTCACGACTTTGGCGCCATCGCAAACTTCCCTCGTGATCGCCATCATCCCATCTGCCCCCATTGATAGCGTCTCTTCTTTCCATTCCATCCGCAAATCCACATCCTTTGCAGGGTTCACCTTGAATAGGCCTCTGTCAACCGCACCTTCACTTTGACACCGCGTCTCTGCATCATGGCTCATCCGCCTTTCCACAGAAACGGTGGCCATCACCCGAACCGACGACACCAGTCGGCGGGCGGTTACGATCGCTATGGGCGTGGTTCACTCAATCGTCAACGCGACCTCCAAAACCCTGTCGGCGGAAGTCAGGTCCCTTTACCCTATCACCCTGGTCCCCTGCCCCAGCCCCAGGGGCGACTCTTTTACCCGGTTGGCGACTTTTGGGGCTTCGAGTATCCTTATGGCATCCGATCCTCTTATCCCATGGTCACTAGCCACGATGGCTCCCCTCCGAAGCTGTACACGGAGAATCACCTTCCCGAGTCTTTCTACACTGCCAACAAGCCCGGCAGGGCGATCTTCAGCACCAACGATAGCAATATCCAACCTCGCTACATAGCTCCTTTCGACTTCTACTCCGATCGCAAGCTGCCACTGTGGAGCGCTGAGGAGATTCAGAAGAATGCCAATTCAATTCGCAAGAAGTTCTGGGAGCACATGAAGGACATGGCTCAGCCAATATACTGGGAAGACATGTGCGACTACTTTGATTGCTTCGACATTTACCATCATGGCGCCCTCAACATCTTCAATCTCCTTTATCATCTGTGGCATGAGAACCAAGACTTGAAGAAGGAGGCTTACCGCGTGATCGCCCTGGAAATCGGTATTTGGTGCGATCGCTGGCTCGACAGAGGTAACAACAAGCAGAGGCTCCTGGACTTCCAAAACTGGGGCAACATCAACAGCCTCTTCAGTGCAGACGACCAAGTCGGAAATCTTGACGCCTCGCAGATCGAGATCATGAAGAACGCCTTGCACCATCGACATGATCAGCTTCGCCACAACCTTGTACCTTCTCCCACAAGTTACCCTTGCAATCAGTTGGGTGTCCATGGAGCCAGGATTCAAGACTGGTTATGTAAGTATTTCAACTCATTTCTCTCCCTATTCTTTTCATCAGAACCCTCCACCCTGGCCCAATTTCACCTTGTTTGTTGTTTCACGATGAACTAACATGATTGTAGACGACCAGCCCATCGCCGACAGCCACAACGGCCTTCACACCCCTTTGACTATGTCAAACCCTAGACCCGTCGGCCAGAACAGCCTCGACAGTATCCCGGAGCACCCGCAACCTCCCCGAGGATACCAAACGCCCGTGGTCGCCATTGGAACAAGCTCGAACCATGGGGTCTCTCAGCCCCCCTCTCAGCCCCAATCTCGGCCTCAACCTACTCCGGCATCTACGCAGGAGGAAGAGCCCAAGGGCTGGGAAAGAATTCCAGGTAGGGATGAGGAAATTCATGGCCCAGTCCACCGTCGATCTCCCACCAAACGGGACTCTCGCAAGGACAGCACTAGGATTGCGTCTCCTGACCAACTCTCCGAAAGCAAGTCGATGGAGCCTTCACCGGAAGCAGAGACACAGTCCAAGCCGCCATCTGAGGAAGTGCTCCCGGACGAAGCTTCAGGCGACGTTGAAACTACTCAGAGCACGAGGTCGCGTGGCAAAACTATCACGGTCAACCTGCCGACCACGCCGAAGAAAAAGGACCCTCAGGGTTCTGAGCCATCCACTCCCCAGGCAAAGGCTACGTCTTCCTCTGCGGTGCAGTCAGCGAAGAAAACTTCTTCTCCCGCAAGCAACTCTTCCGAAGCCAAGACAACACCGCCTTCAAGCACGCCGAAGCAACTTGAGAAAACTTCTTCTCCCGCAAGCAACTCTTCCGAAGCCAAGACAGCACCGCCTTCAAGCACGCCGAAGCAACTTGAGAAAACTTCTTCTCCCGCAAGCAACTCTTCCGAAGCCAAGACAGCACCGCCTTCAAGCACGCCGAAGCAACTTGAGAAAACTTCTTCTCCCGCAAGCAACTCTTCCGAAGCCAAGACAGCACCGCCTTCAAGCACGCCGAAGCAACTTGAGAAAACATCTCCCTCCCCAACCACAACGAAGAGCTCGTCGAAAACTTCTACTCCGTATAGCCAAGTTTACAACGACAACAACGCCAACAACGTCGAGTTAGTTGAGTACCCCGAGCGCTCTCACCCTACTGCGACGAAGACGCAGGAGGACATGCAGAAGGAGATCGCTGGTCGTAAGTTGGATTCCATCTTCGACACAATGGCTTCAAGTAACCAGAAAGACTCCTCAACAGCTGAGCAGCCTCTGACTGCTGTCGAGGACACTGACCCAAAGCCCAAGCCTAAGAGCAAGAGCAAGAAGAAGAAGAACAAGAAGAAGAAAGCTGCTGTTGTGCCTACCACGCCGCCTCCCACCACCTTCACGATCAATGAGGATGAGGATGTCATCACTCTTACGCAGAACTACAGAAAGGAGGACACACCTAGTACTCTAACAGAGTACCTTGCCCGGGGCCTGCGATCTATCGAAAACTACGAGCCTGCTGAGGTCACCCCCGTTCCCACTGTCGAAGATCATCGTCCGAAGCAAGATGCTCCGCCTACTGACCCGCCTGCCACCACCTCGCCTCCCACCACCTTCACGATCGATGAAGATGAGGATGTCATCACTCTCACGCAGAACTACAAAAAAGAGGACGCACCTAAGACTCTGACGGAGTACCTTGCCCGGGGCCTGCGATCTATCGAAAACTACGAGCCTGCTGAGGTCACCCCCGTTCCCACTGTCGAAGATCATCGTCCGAAGCAAGATGCTCCGCCTACTGACCCGCCTGCCACCACCTCGCCTCCCACCACCTTCACGATCGATGAAGATGAGGATGTCATCACTCTCACGCAGAACTACAAAAAAGAGGACGCACCTAAGACTCTGACGGAGTACCTTGGTCGGGGCCTGCGATCTATCGACGACTGCGAGCCTGCCGTGCAAGATGGACACGTCCCCACTGTCGAAGATCATCATCCAAAGCAAGATACTCCGCCTACTGACCGGCTTGCTACCCCGCCTGCCACCACCCTCATGATTAATGAAGACGAGGATATCATCACGCTCACGCAGAACTACAAAAAGGAGGACGCACCTAAGACTCTGACGGAGTACCTTGCCCGGGGCCTGCGATCCATTGAAAACTATGAGCCTGCTGAGGTCAAACGCGTTTCCACTATCGACCATCATCCGAAGCAAGATACAACCCAGACCTCGATGGAACACCTTGCGGAGGATTTGGCTTCGATCAAAATCACGCAGCCTGCTCAAAATGACGAGCCAGATGCTTCAGACACACAGACAGAGCCAACCGGGGACTCTGCCAAGCCCGTCCGCAAAGGCTTCCGCGCTGGCGCTGGCGGCTCCCTTCGCTTGTCGAAGACTCGGAGCAAAAACGTCAAGAACTTGAGCTTTGTTGGCCAGATGGGAGCCGCCCATGGCTCGAACCAGCCTCTCGACCCGGCGCCACTGACTAACGCAAGCTGTAGCACCGCCAATGATGGCAACTCAAGCAATGCGTCTCAAGGCAATGTCTTGACACCTGCGACGCCTCTATCCGCAAGGGAGACCATGCTCAAAGAAAAGACTGCCATGGGGACATCGCTCAAGGAATCCCCATTCAAGGAGACTCTGTCCAAGGAGACCTCTCCCAAGGAGACCTCTCCCAAGGAGAACTCGTCCAAGGGGACTTCGCCCAAGGAGACTTCGGCTTAGGAGGCCGCGTCCGAGGAGCGCACAACCAAGGAACATGGAGCACGCGTCGATTCTACCCCGAAATCTGGTCTCAATCCTCGTGCCAATGAATTTGTGTCTCCTCGTGGCACTGCGGTGCGCAATCCGTCAGCAGCCCCGCTTAAGAAAGCACCGATCCCTCTGGTCCCTCCTTTCAAGGTGTCTGGTCGGCATAAGCGCAGCCCGAACCCCTCGTCAGGTGCCACATCACGCACGGTTACACCTGGTGGCACACCCCCAAAGGCCTCAGGGGACGCTGCCAACGCTCCCAAGAACGTTCCAAACCATGTTGGGGATGTTGCTAAGAGCAGGGCGGACGAGCAGAAGAATGATGTCGCTCCTGTCACCAGCAGTTCAACTGCTAATAAGAACAGCGGAGACCATGGTGGTGAGCAGAAGAAGCGGACCTTCGGTAATAAGGTGACCCGGGCTAAGAGCCATCCGCAGCAGACTGACAACAAGCCAGGGCCCGGCAAGAACTTCTCTTCGTCTAAAAAGCCAAAGGTTCAAGGCGAGAACTCTTCTCAGGCCCCATCTGGGCCTACCTCGGCGCTGCCCCCAACCGCGACCTGGGCCAGTAAGCATCGGTCTGGAATCTCGGGCTCTAAGGAGGATCGCGAACAGAAGTGAAGGAACAGAATGCTTTGGAGGAAAATATGCAACGTTGTCGCCTTCATTTGCCGAAAAGATTCGGTGTATGTCTAGAGTAGCACGGTAGATTTGCTGTCATTTGGACGGGCAATCAAGATTAATGTCATGAAATGCAGTGGTAGTGATATGCCGTTTCGGTGACTAGTCTTCCAAGTAATGAGCAGTGCGCCAAGAGTGATGAAGCGTACCGGATCTCTCTTCTGCAACTTAAAAGCTGCAGAGGGAAGTGCTTGCCTTGCGGTCAAATTCCCCATCAATTACCTTATGAATACTAGCCAAACAACCATCCATTCTAATGACCCTCTGCAGGGTACTCACAACCACGGCGAAGTGTTCCCGGATTGTCCGCCGCGGGGAGGACACGCGACGAAGGACATTGCGACCTCACGAGTCTGAGGAACACCCGCCAACGAATCCGCCGAAATTGCCGGCGCATTCAAAGTGCAGTCTGGATCTGGAGCACACCAATCGCATCGTAAAAGGTCCCTTTCGACGTCGAGATAGATCGTATTCTCCCAACACGGTGATGGTACATAAACTTCTTTTTTTCCTCATTGACCTTCTTTCCCCTTACCAAGCGAGTTCCCCCGCCTTGGTTCCCTTATGCGCTGCCCTTGACCAGGCCGGAAACCGTCTCCTCGATCTGCTTATCCGACAAACCTGCGCCCTGTTAGCTCCCGGCTCTCCGAACTGGATATCCAGAAAGTCGCTACTCACCCTCCAAGGATTGGCTCTTCTCAACACCGAACTCTGTATCGCGCAGCAACATCCGTCAGCAATTCCGTCTTCCTTCGGCGATCTGGTGGAGGGGGCAGTCCTAACCGTATCTCGCGTAAATCTTGGGTAGCGTTCCGGCGGCCTCGCGGATGAGGATCGGGGTCTGGGGGTTGTGCTTCTTCATCGTGGGGTACGTCCTCGTCAGGAAGGAGCTGTCGCGCGGTGCCTCGTTAGCAATTGATGCCGCAATGGCAGGCCATGTCGGGCCGGGCGTGCCCGCCTCAACGGGCGACGGGGAGGAGGAAAACTTACCGGGTCGCGGCGCTGTGCTCGCCGGTCTGGCAGAAGAGGAAGCGCACCTCCTTGAGGGCCTTGCCGAAGGCGTACTTGGTCGACATCGTGGTAGGCGTTTGGCGCTGACGGTGGTGAGGTTCGTCGGTGGAGGGTGCGGCCGTCGGGTGGTAAGGACAATTGGGGTCGATTTGATTGGGGAGCTCGAGGATTGAAGTTGACGAGATGCCGCCGTTAAAGTGGATACCATGCACAAATATTCCGGGTCCCGACTTTTGTGCCGCTAGCTGTCTTATGCAGATGCATAATCCAACCCCCGCCGATGTAGGAATGAGCGCTCGCCAATTTGCTCGTCGCACTTGAAGTCTGGGTGGTCAGTGCTCCCTTTCCCCAATGTCAACTTTTTTTCTCTGGACGTTGTCCCCGCTTAAGTCCGGTTGACGGGCTTCCCTTTGCGCCCGGGCGCGCGTGGGCTCTGTGCAACAGGTACGGATAGGTACCGTCCCCTACCAGCTGGCCCTGCGCGAACGCACCGCTATTAGCTGCCAAAAAAAAGCTGCAGTGTCTGTCTGTCCCGCTCTGCGCCTTGGCCGGACCTCCTCCCAATCAATCGCCATCCCTCAACGAACTTTCCGGGTTTATCTCAACCTTGACTCAACCTCGCATCCCAATTCCCTCCGCCGCCGAGCCCGAAATCTCCCCTCCCTTCCGAACAAACCCAGCTCCCGTCCTCGACAGGGAACGCAAAGAACCGCCGGCAGCAGCTTCGTCTCGATCGAATTTCACCCGGAATCAAGATGGCCCCGGCAAGCAACTTCTTCAAGGCGGCGCGCCCTGTCCTCCGCCAGCAGCCCTTCGCCGGCGCCCCGATCCGCAACGCCTTCCGCACCTCCCAGTTCCGCGCCCAGTTCCGCGAGAGCTCCAAGAGGTGGCAGAGCTCGACCGCCTCCGCCGAGGGCGCCCAGCAGAGCTGGGTCAAGCGCATGTGGGACAGCCCCGTCGGCCTGAAGACGGTGCACTTCTGGTGAGTTCTCCCTCCGCCGGTACAAATTGTGGTTGGGAAGAGATGCTGATATGAGTTGCTGCAGGGCTCCTGTTATGAAGGTACGATACTCCCCCGCCGCGCTGCGTCGTGGACCCCGCGAATGCCGTGTTACATCCCTTGCGATGCCGCCCGCCCGCGATGTCGGAGCTTGAGCTTGCGCGCATGATGGATGGATGCTACGGACACAAGATGATGGTGCTGGATGCTGACTGCGATTGGTACAGTGGGCTCTCGTCCTCGCCGGCATCGCCGACCTTGCCCGTCCCGCCGAGAAGCTTTCCCTCACCCAGAACGCCGCCCTGACGGCCACCGGTATCATCTGGACCCGCTGGTGCTTGATCATCAAGCCCAAGAACTACCTGTACGTGCCCGATTCTGTCCCGAGCTTGTCCGAAGCTGGTACTAATTGAGTTGTGTAGCCTCGCCGCTGTCAACTTCTTCCTCGGTGTCGTCGGTGTCGTGCAGGTCTCCCGCATCCTGCTCTGGCAGTCTTCCCAGAAGAGCGTCGGCGACGTCGCTCAGGAGGTCAAGGAGGAGGCCAAGGAGGCTGTCAAGGCATAGATGGGCTACATGGCTCGGTGAAGTGGGGTTGGAGGGGAAGTAGGAGGAGGGATACGGCGACCTGTGCAGCTTGGCCTGGCTGAGGTCTGGCTAGCCGTGGTAGAGTTCCGGTAATACCACAATGAGCGTGGGGGCGAATCATGAGGGGCTCATCTGCTGCGGCAGCTGCCCCTGTGTGTTTTGAGTACATCGACAAGGTCTTCGGATCTGGGTTGTAGACTAAAACTTTCTTCTATTTCATTCATCGGGATCTTACACGGCCCAGGATTTGCATCTTTGTTGCCCGAGGAAAAGATATGACTGTCTCTCAAATGAGGGATTCGCTTTACGTTGATCCATGGCAGACCATTGCGGAGGATAATGCACGGCGACTTGCTCCCATTGGTATTAGCTGTGAGCAAGCCATGGAGCCTGAATGTCAATCATCGCAGTACCTGGCAACTACCATCGGTCTAGCAAAAGGGAGGATTGTTCACAGAAGGCCCTGGACCATCCGAGGCGTAGCGAGGGAGTTAACAACGGAGTTCTCAACAGAGACAACACCAAGCTCACTCACTTTAATCGAGTCCACCTGTAAGAGAGCAAGCATGTCATGCACGAACCGTAGCAGGCTTTACATGTCAGGCAGTCGCGTTGCGGTGTTTTTGGGGACAAACGAAATAATTAAAAAAAACTAAAGGAGTGTTCCGACAAAATCCTGTCTGCGTGCAGGCCAGATCAACCTGAACGTTCCTCCGAGACCCTACCCAAATACACATGTGTTGACATCTCCAAACACCAGTCTCGTGTGTCACTTCATCCAACATGCCACTTCACTCAATAATCCTCAATATCATCCTCCGGAATATCATCCTCCTGCGTATCGCCCGAGCCTTCACCTCTCCGAGAACGTCCGCTGCGACCGGTGGTTCCCGAGTACTCAGAACCCACACTGCGTTGTGAGCCGGTCGACAATAGCCGGAGACGGCTAGCGATGCGAGGCATCTGGGTCTGCTCGCCCTGGGTCTGCTCGCCCAAGGTCTTGCGGAGCGAGTACCTGGGTCCTTCCTGGCGCGGTCCGAACACGTCGTCCTGCAGAAACCACCGATGCATCAAGCTCATTCCCTTTCGCTTGTGTGCGCCGTGCGCCCAGTGCCATGGAAACCAACCAGCAAAGTCGCTCAGGGAAGAGATGTCGTAAACCTCGATAGGATGAAGGGGATGCGGCAGTGTCGGGATGAGGCCATGGCGCTTGTGATTCTCCAGGCTGGATGCTGCCCATATGGTCAAGTTCCACAGGTAGGTGCGGGTGAAGTTGACCTGGACGGCCTGGGGCTTGTCAAGGATCTTGCCGTTGCGGCGGAGGGTGATGACATAGTTCCGTGCCTCGGGACCCTCGTGCTCGACGTGAAATTTCTTGTGCAGGACGCAGCTGTGGATGATCTGTTTCATTATGTCGAGGCGAGTCTCCCTGTCGAGTGCAATCTCCCGGTCCCAATCGACATGAGGGCGTATCTTGCGCAGCGGAAAGAGGCCATCGCATTCGTGGCGAACGCACACGGACTCGATCGAAGGACCCTGAACGTACTCCCGAAGGATAGCGCCGACGTACCTAGTAGAGGTACTCTTGGTGTCCTTGAGATGGTGCTGAACGACCCAGGTTCCATGGTACTGTGGGACGATTTGAGACGATCCGGTGAGGTTTTCCGAGTAGAAATGCTTGTAAATGCCAGCGGTTCGACTGAGCCCAGAGTCGGCCTGCTGGGTTGGAGATAAGACTGGAGCAAACGGGAGCACCAGAGTGTCGTAGAGCAGCTCGTCGAATACTTCGGCCACGACGAGATCGTCCTTGCGAAGGAGTTCGCCGATGAACAATTTGGCGGTGGGGATCTTCGTGACTTGGCAAACTAGGAGCAGAGCTCCTTGAGGAGCATCCTTGGCGGGGTCTCGAGTGAGCTCCAAGACTTTGAGACGGAGCTTCTCTCCTTTCATCTGCTGTTCAGGAAGGGTGTAGTTGCTCGGATGGTTGATCCTCGATTTGGCGAGTTTGTCTTCTTCCTCGTCGCCCAGCCATCCGTACTTTGGTCCTCCATAAGGCGGAGTCGGATCACTGTGGGGAAGCAGCTTCAGCGTCGTCCCGACGGCATACGGTGCGAGAGGGTCGCTGGATACTGAGTCCTCAAGAGACATGTTGATTGGAAAGTTGCTAGCAATTGATGATTGAGTTCCGTGGCAAAGCCGGAGATCACCTTGAGAAGCTCGCGGATGTGATACGCGTAAGATGCGGCAGATGAGAACAGCGATGGCTGAGACCGAGGTAGAAGACTAATAATCAAGTGGAAGAAATCCAATAATGTGGAAGATGATTCTTCTACGTTCTGGATTCTTGGTCTCTGAAAGGTCCGTCAAGGTAGGTAGGTTGCGACCTGGGAGAGAGGAGCACTTACCAAAAGGTCAGCGATTGAAGGATTCCAGAACATCAAGGTGGAAGGCCTCCTCAGTTCGTCGACTGAAGTTCTGGTCAGCAAAAGCCTTGTAGAATTGTTTGATGGCAGATCCACGCCTGCTATGATATTTTACGACGGATACTTCTCATCCTCCACTCTGACTACTCCTCCCACGTCTTGATGATCCAGCGACTCTGACTCACTGGCCGTGAGGAGTGCGATCCAAGATCAATTACCGTCTTCCCCTGTCATCAGTCTAATTCGTCTCCTTCCTCAAGTACCGGAGGTAGAGCGTGATTAACGGGCTCATCTATCATGGCCTTCCTATTGTGAGTACACCGACAAGGTCTTCGGACTTTTAGACTGAACCTTTCTTTCGACTTCATCTTTGGAACTTTAACAGTTGATCATTCAAGACTGCACGGCAAGTTTGGTTTTCGTATCGTAGTAGAGCCTTTGGTTGAAGACCTCAGCCATGATTACGAGGCCCTTTTGCAGTCTGCAGGCGTGCGGCGTCCTGGGTAACATTGCCAGGAGGCGGCGAAAACTTGCAAACTACCTTAGATGGAGATGCCCCTGAGGAGCATGTGCCTCGGTAATGCATATGGTCTGTAGAACGTCGACCTATGATGCCTCATTGATATTCATTGTTCTCGGGCAGGTAGCTGCTCGAAGTGTCACATCAAGATTACTGCTAAGGCCTCCACCGTATCAAGGGGAAGCCCAAGATGAATAAAGAAAAGCTTTAAAGATGTACAACGGGAACTCTTCCACGATAATTGCGAAGGAATAGAACCACAGACACTCAACTTAGGTGTTGCTTCTCAATATTGGTCGAGATATGCAATATCCATGGCGGTTGGTTTGCTCTATTACTTAAAGCTCATTCGGAAGGGAGACATTGCATGATTTGTCTACGACCCTTCCACGAGACGTCCGATGTAGCCAATAAGGTTTGAAGTATCAAGAGAAAGAACTTCAACCGACTACAGAGCTCTCCTAGCTTTGAGAACGAGCCTCCATCTCCACCAGTGTGGAGAAATATCAACAGAGCCAGGCGACGTACGGGTCAGAACGATTGACTTGCTGGGCGAAATCAAACTTGACCTGAACAAGGCTCGCGGCGTCCAAAGTGGAGTTAACCGATCCGCTAATGTGACAAGCGGCAGGACACATGTTATGAAGAGGGGAGGTACATGTTGCGCGGGACCTCTTGGCTACACCCAACAGGCCCATGAGGCAGTGAGGTAAGTCTAGTGACGGAAGTGGCAGATGAGAACCAGCTTCTTACGCGATTCAAACATTTGGAAACCCTTTAGACAAAGCTGAGGAAAGCATGTTTCATCAAGAACTAGAGAGAATCATGCGCCGAGAATTGCAAGACGGAACAGGCTGCGTACCGCACGCTACTATCTGACTCTGTATGCACCACAATCGACCACAATCGACCACAATCATGCGGAATGCGTGAATGATCACGAAACTCACAGCATCAAAAAGGTTCAACCGGTCGCTGCGGAGAATGAGTACCAAAAAGATGGCCCTTCCCCGTGATAACACGTCTCAATCCACCTTGGCTTACATGCTGTGACGGAATGCGTCTTTCCTCATCACTAAATACGGCCTTCGACCTCCTCGAATTGCGTCCTTGCCTGCAGATTAAACGTGATGAACGGCACGATGCTTGCGCCCGACAATCAATACGAGTTCAGCAAAGGTGGCCAGCCGGGACGAGTCCACCACGGCGCCTAAGCCCTTCGCCACATACTGTTGGAGCCCCTGAGACTGGCCCAAGCCGGGACCGGGTTCATCTAAAGCGTTCTATTTCCAGTGAGTTTGACTAAACCGAAAGCATTTGCATGATTGGGGTTACAGATACATGTCGGTGCTGCTGCCGGCGCTGCTGCCGGCAGGGCCGGGTCCAAAATGCGACGTTGGGGAGCCCCGGCCCCCAAGGTTTTGGTAGGAAGGAGGGCCAGGGCAAACATACCCCGTTTATATCAAGAGTCTTGCTATCCGGGCGGATACTTCTAGCTAACCGGGCGGATAACTACCTGTATTAGGTCTTGTAGTTGATTTTATCTCGATTAACTTCTATTATTTTCGTCGCTATTCCTATCCCTCTCTCTATCCCTATTACTATTGTCGTCGTCGTCGCCGATAGTGTCGTTACATTCATATCTACACCCGCCCGGTTAGCCAGAAGTATCCGCCCGGATAGCAAAACTCTATATCAAAACGTGATGAGTTATCGCATGTCTCTGATTATTCAAGCAGTTTCCATGGTGGACAAGTCACTTCTCATCGCCTGTTTACGCTGTTCCTTGCCATGACGCGCTCCGGCTGCATGATGCAGGCGTTGATATGCAGGTAGCCATCGCGGCGTGACAGAATCGGACGCCAGATGAGGTGACACGATACATTTTTTCATGCCTGACATGTCGTACGTCGCCAAGTAATTATTTAGCCTGCGGCTTGCCTCGATGCGATTTATCCGAGTCCTCATACACACTGTGTGAAGCCACAAACGAGTTTGCCGCCATTTATCTCATTGGGGCAAGTCCGTGAAGATCTGGAATGAATTCTGTGCTTGATTATGGTCATTTCCTGCCGTAACACTCTTGGATGACCCCCATCTCGCCATCATCTGTCGCACCACCATCAGGCTTTCCTCTTGTCTTCACCATGTCCCGTCTTTTTCCATTTCAATTTGATTGATCACCCATTAGTACCAGCCTGCTCACCAGAATCCAACTCAACATGTCTGCCTCTGCTTCTCAATCTCATTTTGCCTCGAAGGAAGCTATCAGCGTCGTTGAAAGCTTTGAGAAGGCCGCCCAGTTCGACATGTCCTCCATCACCGCCGAGGCCCAGGTCGAAAATAGCTCGCCATCTTTGCTGCAACAGGTACTTGCGTACAGTCTCAGGAGTGGAAGCCAGTACGTCTGCGTGGGAAATCAGTCCGAATGGCAACTCATATCCTTTGACCGACCGGAGGTTCCAGCTGAGGCCTCTCACTACAACACTTCCGATCATATGCAGATAAGCCTCATCAAGAACATCGAAAAACTGCTTCCTGCCCTTATCGGATTCCTTGGAGATGCTCAGCCGATGGAGACAACTCAGGTCACTCCTGCCTCTTCCAAGCTCTGAAAACCCCTACAAACCGGCTTGGATGTGCTTGTCATTCTTTTCTCTTCGTGACTTGTTTGTTCTCATTCTCCGGTGACTAGATTCTGATGTCGACGGTTTCTTCTGAAGGTTTCATGAGCCATAGTATGGGGTCTCATCTGTCTCATAAGATAGTGTTGCGTTATGAATGACACATGTATTACTTTAGATGGGATACAAGAATTCGTTCTCATCACTCGTGTGATAAACTTTTCCATCGTGTGTGTTTTTCCTGACATGTTCTGAGGCCATTTTCCAAGTCCAAGCGGTAGAGCATGGCTCTTTGTTTGCGATACCCCGGATTTGGTGCTTGGTCAGATTGACTCAAAATGCCGTAGACGCTTCACTCGTAATGAGTACACAAATATCACTTATAGAATCGAAAGACTGCATGTCATTTTGGAAAAGTCGTCAAGCCGCGGGTTTTCTTAGTGTCATGAAACTCTACTCTAGTCCTTCTTGATCTTGTCCGGAACACATATATCCTCCAGTGCCCACCCCTAAACCTCTCGTGCTCTAATACAGCTGAAAACTATGTGTCATTCCGCGATGGGCTCAACCAAGAGCATGACATTGTAAGGATGGAAGTGGAAGTCATAATAGCCAGTGAGACGTTCTCATAGATCTCCTCGATGTTATCCCGAATCAAAATGGCCTTGGTAATGTGTTCGCCAGGATATACCCGATTGTAAAGGACCATGTGCGGGAGATTGGAACTCAGAGATAAGTTTTGAGCGGTCTTTCTCACCGGTCACCTTGGCACTGGGGTATCTAGAACTCGTCAGGCATTGAGTTTCTTTTCTCCCAGCATTGCTTACCTGTAAGGTGGAAGTTAATCAAGATGCGGATCTTTCCAGAGCTTTTAAGCATGAACAAGCGCTGCCACTCATCGTATTGAGTGGTGTTGAATTCGGTGTCGTTGAAGCGATTGTCTCTGAACCAGGTAAGGCCAGAACGGGCAGGGGCGATGTTGCTGCAGGCGGAGGTGGTGGCACTGTTGAAGGTCTCACCAAGCGTGGCATTCAGGTGAAATGGGCCTGAAATAAGCAGCACGATATGTAATTGGAGAAGTTATGTGTAACAAGTCTGAGAAAATGTTGCGCAGCCGGGTGTGGTCTTGGCACTGGTCGTTTTGAAAATTAGTCCGTGATACAGCGTGGATTTGACAGTCCTTAAACGCTTGAATTGGTGCGAAATAGCGGAGGGCATAACCTAATCTCAATCGAGTCTGTATTCCCTTCGTGGCTGCAGTGTTCCGTCGTGCATTGTTACCGAACATACAAACAGCTCACCTCGGTGAAGTGGGTGAGCAGAGTGCTCTAGCAACCCATGTCACCGGCAATCTCCAGCTGAGCCCCTGGCCCCGACCCCGCGTTCCCCGCCACATTCTCGGTAAGCATCCACACCTAACCCATCAACACAACCTCATCCCAACTCAGCTCATCGCTCATCTACCCGCCAAGCCCTCCGCAATGAACAGTCCGCTACTCGGCCATCTCTCAAAAATACTCACCCTCTCCCCGCCGCAATCCTCTTATCCGCCCTCAGCCCTTTCAGGACCTCTCACGTCGCACACAGGAACAGCCTACCTTTTCCTCTCAATCTCATCGGCCTTTCCCCGCCTCCAGATCCATTCTTACCACGCAATTCATTGGGCACGAGCATACATCTCAAATATTCCGACACAATCCGCCCCGGACTCAGCTCCCGAACACGTCCTAGGCCTCTCTGAAACCCTGGCCAGCCCAGCGATCCGCGCCTGCATATCTCAAGACTTGACCCACGTCCACAAGTTCCTCTCCCTCCTCCCCTCAATTTCACACGCCAATCTCCCAACCTGCCTCATTCATGGCCTCTCAGGAACTCTCTATCTCCTCCGTCTCATACGCCACTGGGTCCCGTCATCAGCGCCGCTCGTCTCTCGCGCCATCGTCCACATCTCAGAATATATCCTCTCTTCCCCTTGGTCCTGTCCTCAATCAAGATCTCATGGCGCTGCTAATGGGGAGCTGGGAACGCTGACGCAGCTTGTGTTGACCACACCACCATTGGCCTCGCAATTAGTGGAGAGACTTTCAGCGTTGCTGAACTTGCAAGGGCCGGACGGGGAATGGCCATCTCAGGAAACAGGGGCTGGGGCTGAATCTCTCGAAAACAAAGGAGACGTCTCATTCGCGCACGGCACAGCGGGTCTAGTAACATCTCTGCTATCACTTCGTCCTTTTTTCCCATCTCTACAGGAGCGCATAGACGATGCTATGGCAGAAGCGAGGAACTTCTTAAGCACCCAAGAGCTTGGGACGAGAGAACCAAGTCTGTGGTACGGCGCTCTCAGCACCCCATTGTAAGCTTCTTTCTACACCTGATTGTCATTGACTGCCATGAAACGATTTTGTCAACCATCTTACTAAACCCAGAGACACTGACAATGCCCAGAGCCTTTCCAAAAGGCTCGTCGAGAACATCGATTATGAACCTCGTCCACCCTAGATCAACATCAGAGCCCCCATCAGATTCCTCCTCATCTGGCTCAATAGCGATATCTTACGACCCCGGTGCCGCATGGATGTGGGCAGTATCAGAGAAGGAACTTCCGCGAATGATCTTTTACAACGACATTTGAAGCCGATTTGCGACTATCATCATGAGAAGGAATTAGTGTATATGGCTCATGAATTCTAATATCATCTGGGACAACTGCAACACGGGCAACGTAGATGGGAACATCGTATTTGGCGCATAATGTGCGAGGGTGAGTTAGTTCGGAGATGGAGACCGGGGTACTGGTATGGGATGGTCACAAGGGTGCGGTAAGGCAGCGGCGGTACCAGACCTTGTGGTGTTGACGGAACCCAAGCACACATGAGGGCTAGACCAGAAAGAGATCATCTTAATCAAGACTTGGAAATTTCGGTCTTCGGTCCTGTCATAGTGGTTCAGACAGGTTGGCGTCGGCGAAAGTTTTGACAGAATTTCGTTACGCCGTCTCGCTTTGTAAGGTCGGATTTAGCTTTTTGCAGTATCCAGACATGCCATGCGCGGGCACGGTTTGGAAATCAAGCGAGTTCAAACTTAGAATGAGCTTGTTGGTTTTTACTGCTGAACAAAATGGACACAATGGTTTCTCCGGTCATCCTTCAAGAGTGATAAAAAGACGAGCCTCGCCCTTCCTCCTCCAGATAACTTGCTCACTGTTATCACCATCGCCTTCCACCCTCTTCACAATTCCAGCATCCAACTTCACCCATTGCCATCCTCCATATTTAACACATCTTGACACACACGCACAGCAAACATGTCATCTACTTCCATCGTGCGAGTCCTTGACTCTACGGCTCTCGAAAGGTTCGACCCGGGCGAAGAGCTGGTGCTGACGCCATACCCGCTGTCCGACCCCTGCAACATCGGATTCGAAGATGAAGGCAGGGCGCCTTCTGATTTCGACCCCTCACAAGCCGACGGCAAACTCATCGAGGAAGCCAACCCTGCCACGAGAGCTCGCCTCGTGATCAAAGAGCGCCTCAGCGGCGCGTCGGCGAACGGCCAGAAGGTCCTCCTCTGCCGCGTGGAGCAAGCGCCAACCGACATCGAGATGAATAACGCACACGTAAACCACCTGTCGGAGGCCAACCTGGTCATCGTCAAGACATTCGCTTCGAGACCGCTCTACAAATGGGTTCCTGATGGATACCGATCCCACGATCATGCATCTGGCGAGCCGAATTCGGAGGCCGCAGTGTACCAGCACCTGTACGACAACGGGCTGACCGGCTATCCTCATCTGGCACCGCAGTACTATGGCACTTGGGTGTTTGAGAAGGAACAAAAGGGCCAGAACGCTTGCGCCCGCGACAGATACACCAGTCTCATCGTGATGGAATACATTCACGGAGTCTCCATTGAGCAACTTGGCACCCGAGACTGGGACCGTGATAATTATGGCCCCCTCCAACTCAGTACAGCCCCCATCGCACTGTACAGAAACTCCGACAAGACGCTCCTGATGGATACCGAAAGCCGACTCCGCATATTCAAGACCTTGCTCGACGGCGTAGTCCGAAAATTGCACGCTGGCATCTTTGTCGACAGGATGGGCCTCGCCCCTAGCAAAGTCTTGGTTTCTCTGCGCAACAACGGGAAAGAGCTTGAAGAACCGAGGGTTGTCTCCGTCGGTTACTACATGGATAAGGTGTGGTCTCGGACCAAGGAGGGACGTGATTTGGGAAAACCCATGATCGCACAGCAGCTTGACCGACCACCTCATCCTGCTCTGTACTTTCCGGCCATATCAGAAGTCTCGGACTTTCAGGGCTGGTTTCCTCGTGAATGGTGCACCTACGACTCCGACCAGTTCCATGGATGGCTTTTGAGTGAAAGCGGGTTCGGGCCCTTGGACGGCAACGAGAAATACAGCAATCTTCCTGATGAGAATGCTGAATACTTGGGTCTCTCTATGTTTCCAGTCTTTTAATCTGCAGATGATTTTTCCGTTATTTGATTTACAGACTAGAAAACAAGATACATCACATTTGTCAGCATAGTTCGCCAGATGAAAATTGAAGAATTTTCTTGATGTCTTGGTAATTTTCGTCACTCTTGATCGTGTTTGCTGGGTTCTCTGGACTTGGGGCAGAAAGACTCTGATTGAAAGGCCTCACACTGCTCACAATGGAAACTTTTTTTCTTCGGTTTTGTATTGCTTTCTATTAACGTTCTGTTACCCGCATTTCAGTCATACATTTTCACAATCACATCCTCAATCATAGACTAGGCAAGCTCAAAGAAACAATTAGCAGAGTAAGACTGAACTTATAGGGTGCGCCTGTACATCGGAGTCCTCCGACAATGCCGCCAAGCGACTAAAACCGTCTTGTGTTCACTGCTTCTGCCTTTTGGGGCTAGAAGTTTCCTCTTCCGAGGCGGCATTCTCACCCTCACTTCTCTGGAGCTTTGGAGGGAGGAACTTCACGCAACGTACAATTCCTCCAGATTTCAAGTCGCCATAGATAGTGCGCCACGAGGGGGGTGCGGCGCCGTTGACCGTCTACACGTTGCGCACAACCGACTCGTCTGCCTTCTGGCCTCGCAGCTCTTCGATGGCATTCTCGCATTCTTCGCCATACGAGGCCTCGGGCTGCGAGCTTCGACTTTCAGCCGCTAGGTCCGCTACCGTCTTCCTAAGCTCACGAACTCTCCGGTAATTGTTGTCCATGAACATCCTGAAGGCAGGGTACTCGGAATTGACTTCGATCGTACCGAAGGCCAGATAGTCGTTTGTGGACATCCTGAAGACAGGATACTTGGAGCTGTCTTCGATCTTGCCGAAGACCCAGCCAAGCCAGTGCTCACACAGCCATGGAATTGTATACCACCTTTCCGGATACCATCCCTGGAAGCGCCAAATAGAATGAATACAGAACCTCTCGAACGGGTGAGGCGGGTTAGGCAGCTCTGTAAGAGGGTGTCGACTAGGCCATTCGGGAAGCTCGGGATTTCTGGCATACTTATTCTTCTCGTAGATCTCGCTACAGGAGTAATCGGCGAGAACCACTCTAGTAGGGATCGGTGACCCGTTCAGGTCAAGGACTGTCACCAGGATGTTTCGAGGACTTAGATTGTGGAGTTGCACACCGACATGCAGAGACTTGACGACCCCGTCCAACCAAAGCTTGAGAACGTCCAATCCAAAAGTCTCGTCCTGAGGATTCATTGAACCGAGAGCTGACCGATATTCGAGTCTCACATCGTAATCCTTCGGCACGAGCACGGGATCCTCTGGATCGTTCGAAATACAAAGGTTCTTGATAGAGAGCCCTCGAATGTACTCCACGGCAATGGCGCTGGCGTATCGGATCTTCGGGGCATTTTTGTCTTCTTCATCCACATAGGGGACCTTGACAACCCATGTGCCGTAGTAAGATGGTACATGGTAAGGAGGGCCCATGATATTTCCACGCACCAGGTGCTTCTCGTAGTGAAGCCTCAAGGCAGCCGATTCGCGAGCGTAAAAATGCTCAGCAAGTTGCCAATTGCCGTAGGGAGGGTCCCCGGGTCCGCCGGGGAATACCAGTCCATTCGATACCTTGACGATAAAGTAATCAACCGAGTCCTTCGTCTTTGTTTCGGGATCTAAACGTGGGAACGGCATTTGTGGCTGCACAAGGGATCGCGGGTACTTTGTCATCTTGCACAGCAACACTTGGTAAAAACCCTTCGTATCGTTCGAAAGATGCTTGATGATTTTAACATGGGCGATAGTTTCCTTGTCGACACCTGCGTCCGGGTCGAAGTTCCTAAGGCCATCCAGCTGAGCGGGAGTGGCAGGGGGGTAGAGATTATAGCCCCACGGCTCGGGAGGATTGAGGCGTGGTAGCAACTCAAGCGTTTCACCGGCGTCGAACCATGGGCAGTTCCGATGCATGACGATATATGTGTGGTGGTTTGCGGCGGTTTGAAGATAAGGTGACCGAGTCTTCAGATGATGTCGACGGGAGGCGTGCAGGACTGAAGCAGTTGTAAGATTCTTGGACGGTTGCCGAGGAGATTTCTGAAGAGAAGGGGCAAAATAAAACAGCTGCTGTAGCAGAAGAGAAGAATTGGGGGCTTGGTGGCGTCAGGGAAGACTCGGTTTCTGTTCGAGGAGGCAAAGAGCGGGTGAAAAAGCAAGAAGGAGAAGCGAGAAGTGAGAAAAATCAAATACTCCGGGGAAATTTTCATATCCTTAAAGACGCATGGACTGTTGGAAAGGGTTGATTGTAGCGGAAAGGTGCAGTACAAGAACCACCTCTCTAGCACGAAGCATTTTGCATTGTGGGATTTTCCTCTTGATTTGACCAGGCAGGTACCCCAGACTGTGCCAGCACCAAACGCCGAACACAGGAAGTTACTTGGATCAGCCCTTGTGCCTGAGACCGCCTACTTTTCCTGTGCTAGAGCGACTACTTTTCCTGTGGCTATGCTCTAATCACTCCACTACCGTTGATGTTGTTATTGTCCCCGTTTCTATTATGATTGTTGTTGTTATAGTCGTCCTCGTCCTCATCGCTTCTATTATAATTATCGTTATAGTCGTCCTCATCCTCGTCCTCATCCTCGTCGTCGCTATCGCTACTATCGCTTTCGATAGCAGTAGTCAAGTGCACAGGAAAATTAGGCGATCTCGTGTGCCTTTGTTCGTCACCCGGATGCGTGCGTGTGGGTTTGCTCCAACTCCGATTACAGGAAGCCGCAACGCTAGAAAAGTCTGATATCACACATCTTTCGTGGGTCTCAGTTCCATCGTGGCATTCAATCAGTTGCAAATCTGGCGGGCAAGTACGGAAGGTTTTGGGCTGTGACGATAGGGAAAACATCGCGTCTATTTTACAAGTATTACATTGATGCCGCTGTATCGCTAGTAGTCACTGTTATAAACTACGATCATGTACCAAATCTCAATCCAGCTCACTGTTTCTGCCTCTTGCTCTGGTCAGAAACCGTGTCGCCTCCCTCTTCATCATCGTCATCGTCTCGCTGCCGCTTCCTGCTAAGAGCACTCTTGGCAGACTGCACAGCTTCTTGCTTCTGATAAGTAAGATCCTCGTAGGCCTTTCGGTTCATGAACTCCGAAACATCCACCCCCGTGTGGTCCTTCACTGACCGCAGAAAATCGCCCTTTGAATCCATGGGAGCATCTTTATACTTGGCTCCGTGGTCTGCCACAAGCTTTCTCAAAGAGCGGTCCGATTCATCGCCTCGGTCACTGAAGACAGAGTAGAGCCCTTCCTCAACCTTGCCAAAAGTCTTTCCAAGCCAGCAGTCAAACAACAATGGATGCTTGTCCCAGAGCGGCGGGTACCAGCCGGAGAACTTGGACAGCGGGATGATGCAGCACCTCTCGAACGGATGGACTGGGCGCGGTTCCTCGGCAAGCGGGTGCGCATCAGGCCATCTCGGGTCTTTGGCGTTCTTGGTCTTCTCGTAGATTTCAAAACTGAAGTAGTCGAGGAACACAATTCGGGGCACAGGAGCCTCAGAATTGCTGTCGTCAACAATCGTTACGAACGTGTTTTGGGGGCTCAGGTCGTTGTACTGCACACCGGCATGCAAGGTCTTGACAATACCATCTAGCACACCCTTGAGCACCATCAACCTGAAAGCCTCATCTTCTGCGTCGATTACCAGACCAGCGAATTCCGGTCCTCGGAAAAGACCTGGGTCGTTTCTCGGAATAAGACAAGCGGTGTCGAAGAAAGATTCATACTCATCGTCGTCTGATTTGAGGTTGATGTTACGGTTCTTGATAAGCACGCCCTTGCAGAGATCATCGATGGAAACCCCGCGGATGAACTCCATGGCGACCGCGCCAACATATCGCATCTTCTGCTCACCGGCCTTGTTCTCGTAGGGAAGCTTGACGACCCACGTGCCAAAGTAGGACGGCACATGATACGGATATCCCATAATACCCCCGCATTCCAAATGCTTCTGGTAGAGGTACCTCAGCGCAGACGAGTCTCTGCTGTGGTCCTGGTCCGCCAGCTCCCAGTTGTTCCAGGGTGGGATACCTCCCCCGCCGGGAAACAGGCCCCCGTCCGAAACCTTCAGGACGAAATGGTCAGCAAGATGTTCCTTCGCGTCGGACGGCGGAAACGGCATCTGCGACTGTGCGAGGGTTTGCGGATACTGGGTGGCTTTGCAGAGCAGCACCTGCGGACCACGGCCCAGGCCGACCCGAAGATGCCTGATGATCTTCACCTTGCAGATAACCTCTTTGTCGACTTCCGCGTCCGGGTCGAAGCCGCGCGGGTATGAGGCAATGTTCTTCATCTCAGACCATTTAGGAACGGGGTAGGCGCCGCCCCAAGGTTCAGCTAGATTGAGATTGGGAAATAGTTCCAGTGTTTGACCGACATCGAACCAGGGGGCCTCTCGGGGAGGTTGGAAGTCCATGATTTCGTATGTGTGTAATATGGATCAAACACCGCTGACGAAAAGCGGAAGATCTGTCGGAAGACGAGAGCGCTGGTGTAGGACGGGAGTGGTGGCGGCAGGAAAGAGCGCTGGTGAACTGGAGGAAAGATAGCGGAAGGCCAGAACGTCGGCAGCAGGAAAGAGCGCTGGTATGAGGAAGCAGCTTGATGACCGAAAAGTGCTCTGATAAAGTGAGAAAGCAACTACTCAATGTCAGGAATGTTGGAGTTTTCAATGGATCTTATGGTGATCCAGAAAGAAAAACTTTCCAGTAAGGAGGTCCGCTGAGGCTGTCTCCGGCTGTAAAACCTTAACAACCGCAGTCCATGAACCGAAACGGAGTTGTAGGTCGCCGCCTCCTTCCAAGAAACCAGACAGCCAAACACCCGCACGAAAGGTAGGCACCGTTCGGGTTCCTTACAACTCGCATGGAGGAAGAGAGAAAGACGGAAAGGACGCCAACGAGACCCAATGCCCGCTACCAAATAATGCGGGTGGCCTTGATGGTCTCGGTAACCTTGATGACGATAGTTCACCGCAGGAAGGGACTTCTCCAACGCGGCAAGCACCGAAGCCAGAACCAGAAGGTGCCCAGGTCAATCGCTTGCCTTCTCCGTCACCCAGTTACGCCGCCTTCATACTGCCTGTTCTTCCTTCGTAGGCGAGTTGCTCCAACACCAATGCACAACACCCCAATGTACCAGAAACCCCGACAATATTCTTCACATCTACCAGAAAGCTGGCCTCCTTCACACCGCGGAAGCCAATCCATACCCTTCCCTCCCAACTACGAGTCGGTCACGGCTCGGAGGCTCACCGACGCCTGCCAGTATGACTGCCGGCCGATTGAACGAACTACCTATCTCCGACTAGCTCCCTCCTACCTATGCGCTCATCGATTAACGCAGAAAGAAGGAAAACACTCTGAAAGGGGGTTGGCTGCTGTCAGGTCCTCCGGCGCCGAAGTTCTCCACCCAGATCACGCCGCCATCCGACCAACTCCATCCATCTCCATCGTCAAACCTCCGATCCCCCAAAGCCCGTCTCCCGTCTCCCCCCTCCCATAACAATTCGCCCAGAACCCAGCCAACGAAATGATTTGTGCCGTGCCGTGTAACACTAGAATGGGGGCCCAGCAGCATGTTGATGGACCTTGGTGCCAATTCCAATCCCCACCTCTCTCGAATGTGGGCGAAGAACCTTAGCCGTGGAACCTTTGTGGTACCCAACATAGACACCGTCTGTCAAGGACAAGCAGGTCCTCACCGCACACCGCACAGCAGCCTCACGCCACACATCACCGAGGATTACCCGCATAGCAGTGAATAATTATATATGCTAAACGCCGCATAACACATCTGTATAGAATACGCCATGCCGTGGCCCGGCACAATGCAAGATCGGGTACAAATCCCATCAACATCAACATCCGCATACACGCAGCTGCCTACCCATCCTTTCATCCAACTTGATCCAAACATGAAAAACAGGCATACCCAAAAATAGAGGAACGCCAGGTGTCAACCACCGCCAGACGAAAAACAAGTTCAAACTTTTTGTATCTTTTATTCCCTAGCGGAGCATCTGATTTCTCTCCAAAGGCAGCATCGTACATCTGGTCGTTGGTGTGGGTTGCCGTACAAGTACACGGTTTACATCGTGCCCTTTCCTTTTTCTTTCGTGGTCGTCATCGCGGTTTTTCGTTTTCAACACAGGGAAGTCCAGCCCGGCGACCGCTCGTATTACGTGTTTGGTCGTAAGTCCATTTGCCGTCAGCTCTACATGACGACACACTCGCCTTCCTGTTGCTTGCCGATCTTGCTACGGGAGATGCGCTCGCGCTGCCGAGGGCCGTTCTTGCCAGCGCGCTTGAGGTCCTCGAGGCGCTCGCGGGCCTTGGGGAAGTCTTGGGCTGTTGACACAATTAGCATGCGCTTGTAGCGAGAAGTCAAAAGGAAACTTACCAGCCGCTCTCCAGTACCACCGCTTCGCGTCCTCCATGTTGGCCGGCACACCGATGCCTACTTCCGTAAAGTATCCCATCGCGTACTCGGCCTTTGCCAAACCAGCCATCGCCGCCTTGCGAGCCCACAAGTATGCCTCCGTGTCGCTCTGCTGCAGGACATTATCACTGCCAGTAAGATACCATCCACTGAGCGACAGCTCGGACTGATGCTCGCCCTGCTGCGCGGCGCGAGAGTACCACATGATTGACTGTCGAGGATCGATAGGACAGCCCATGAGACCATATTCAAAGGCGCACCCGAGTCGATACTGCGAGAATTTGTAGCCAAGGTCCGCAGCCTGTCGGAAGAGAGTAAAGGCGTAGGCCTCGTCCTTGATAATGGCGTCATTGGGAGCTGCGGACTCGTACAGTAGGCCGAGCTCATGCAAAGCGTGAGGGTTCTCGGCGTCGGCGCGTTCGGCAGCCCGCTTCAACCAACCCACAGCTTCACGAGGATTCTTGGGCTGGCCAAGAAGTCCCTTCAGCAGGATCATGCCCACCTTGTACATGGCTGGCGTGTCCCCAAGCGTTGCAGCTCTCTTATACCACTGAATCGCCTTTAAGGGATCTTTCCTCGTACCGCCGCCCTCTTCGTGACCGATTTCGCAGCACACCGCCGTCCTGTACGCGGCCGCCGCGTGTCCAAGCTTGGCTGACGACTGGTATAGCGTGAAGGCTTCCTTGTTGTCGGGCTCCTGTCCAAATAGTCCGCGTCCAAGACAATCTGCGTAGAAAAACATAGATTCGGGGTTTTGGGCATTCGATAGCTTCTTGAGAATCTTGTTCGCATCCATGAGGTACTTCTCACGCGCGCGAACCTTCATCTTCGGGTCAGCCAAGTGAGGCGCTAGTACGTCGACCGCCTCCACGAGTCTCTTTGCCAGCCTCAGGGCAGACTCTTGGTCATTGGGATTCGTCTTGATGATCTGGCGCAGGCGCTCGAGCTCCTCCTGTGTGACTGGCGTCGAAGCTTCCGTGAAAGACGGCGTGCTGGCTTGCTGGGGAGCCATCTGCTGCGGGGGCATCGCACCAGGACCGGCGGGAGGCATTGGTCCGCCCATTCCGCCGTTGTAGTTGCGGACAGGTGCAGGCTTGTCGCTCATGCTGACCATCGAGTTGGGCATATGACCAGGGCGAACTGGAGTGGGGTGAGATGGCAGTGAATCACCGCTGCGACTTGGAGACGGTCCATGAGGGAGACCCGGACGTCCCATTTGCGGCGGGTTAGGTTGTTGTGGTTGATCCCAGCCGGTTGGACCGTTGTAAGCGTCTTGTTGGTAGCCGCCATTCATGGGTGGCATTGGCGGCGCGTCACCGGCCATCTCGAAAACGGCTTGCTGCGATTGTCTCAAATCAGGTTGCGACTTTGTGCGGCTCATTTCCGGCATGCGCTTAGCACCCGGCTGAGTATGTTCCGCAATGCCGGGTCTCATGTGCTGATCAAATGAGCCGCGCGGGCGGTGTGAAGGCTGCGCATCGAAGTCAGGAGCGCCTCCAGGGCCCCCCGGCCCACGGTAATCGTTGCTCGTACGCGGGGGCTGATAGTATGCATCATAGACATCGCCAAATGATGCCCTGGTGTCCCTATAACCATCGTGGCCTCCGTCATATCCATCATATCCGTTCTGAAGGGGCAGCGGGGGGTTCGGAGGATGCATGCGCTGCGGCGGCGGTCTGTTGCCCTGAGCTGTAGATGGCCGGGGAGGGACACCGTTACGAGGAGGTCCTCCTTGACCGCCCGGCCCTGCGTACGTGTCTTGCCGATGCGGCGGCGCGCGTCTTTGCATGGGATCATTGACCGGCATCGTCATACTCCGAGGCGGGGGGCCGAAGTTGTCCTGCGGGCCATAGCCATCGTCTCTGAAGTCAGGCCCTCCGTAGCCGGGGTCGGGGCCACGTCGCGGCTCCGGATATCCTCGCGGGGGCGGCCCTCTGCCATTCGGCTGTCTTGGAGGTGGTCCCTGGGCTGCAATTTCCAAGCCGGCCATCTTATTCAGTATCGCCTGCTCTTCGTCGAGGTCTGTCTTGCGACCCTGTCCAGGGAACGCGGGGAAGGCGCCGCCAAAGCCCTGGGGGCCAGGTGGGCTTATTGGGCCGCCATCTTGCGGTCGGGGGCGGTTCGCTAGCGATTGATCAGCATACGACAGCAATGGCTCCATTGCGCAACTTACCCGCAGGGTCTGAGTTCGCCGATCGCTCGTACGGAGCAGGTCGCCCTCCGCGTCCCATGGGGAATCCTCCGCGGCCACCAGGGCCACCACGACCCGAGGGACCGGGGGGATAGCCGCCGCGAACACCGTCGGCTGTTGGGGGACGTGCTATCGGGCCTCCTCTTCCCATTTGTGGCGGCGGACGTCCTCCTCTCCCCGGGCCATTGGGTCCTGGGCCGCCGCCGTAGTAGTCCTGTTGCGGGTAGCCCTGATTCGGCGGTGGCGGGCCTCTTCCGTAGTTCTGGTCTTGGTACCCTCCGCCGTAGTCCTGGCCGTAGCCACCGTCGTCGTAGTAGTCATAGCCGTAGCCGTCTTGCTGGTAGTTGTCGTACTGCTGGGGAGGAGGAGGGCCCCGTTGCGCGAGGCCGGGTCCTGGACCAGGACGAGGCGCGGGCGGGCCACCGCCGTATGGGCGCTGTCCCGGGTATCCTGCCATCGTCTGGTCTGTTTTCCCGCCGCTAGTCTGGTCGAAACCGTGCCGTCGTCGACTGGGTGGTTTCGCAGGCGCAAATTGAAGCGATCGGGAGTCGTCTCGTGTGATTTTGGGCCGATTGGTGTGTAGGTTTTGAGTATGTGTTGTTGGTGTGTGGTCCCCAAGGTCGGGAAAGTGCCGGGTTCAGGACAGCCCCTGCGCGGCTCGGGGTCGCATAAAGGTTGCTCTGGGAAAGGAGAGAAATTAGGTAGGCGTAGCTCCACAGCTTTCCGGAATTGGATCGGGCTGCTACAACAACAAGCGCATCGCTGAGCGGTTCGAGAAAAGAAGAATCAGAATCGCAACACCAAGTAGCGACGGCGGCGGGGGTTTCTCGTCCTTCTCTGCTGTAGGTGCTGGGATTCAGCGCGTTTCGACTCAATGTTGATCGACAGTTTCGGCGGGCCAGGCAATGCGGGAAAGCGCGGGCTCTCAGTCGACCTGACGTTGTTTTTTTTCTGAAGCTGTCCACAGCAATTTGGGGAACTGTATTCGGGGCGCACAACAACGGTCGAGCAAAAGGAGAGACGGATACAAAAAAAGGAGAAAAGAAGAAAGAATGATTTGAGCCGCGCGTTGGCAGTGCCGGGAAGCAAGGTCAGGTCGGGTTGCTTCAGTTCAATAGAGCCGGCCGTTAAGGGGAGATCGCAGGTGTTTCCAGAACACGGCGTCTATTGGTGGCAGAGACGGTGGAGATGGACCGAGTTAATGTTCAAGGACCAAGACCAAGACCAAGCAAGCACAGGCAGGCAGGCAGGCAGGCAGGCAGACTGGGCAGCAGTCGAATGAGGTGCGTGGTACTCTGCGAAAAGGCGGACACTGGAGGGGCTGGCTGGGCAGGTGCAGCGCGAGTCTTGGGTTGTCGAGTAAGGTCGTTGGGTCCTCAGTCGTCTGGATCCCTGGGTGTCGTTCCAGTGTTTCCCGTAAGCAGCCCTATTAAGGTGAGGTGAGGCAAGGTAGGGAATGGTGTGGTGTCGGGCTTGAAGGAGAGTTAAAGGAGAGGTAAGAGATAGAGGGCGAGGAAGAGGTCGGCCTCATGCACGCGTCGATGGAGAGCGACAGAGAGACACACACCAAGCAAATAAGCAGCAACAGAAGCAGTGTGTGGTGTATGGTGTGCGCGTTGTCGGGTCTGTTGCCGGTCTCCCCTCTCTGTATGCGCGTGTCTCTCCGGCCTGTCTGCAAACTGCAGGTGAATAAAGACAGACTGGGGTGGTGGTGGAGGAGGAGAAGGGGGACAGACTCAGAGTGGGTGGTGGACTGTGGACTGTGGACTGCGGACAGTCGACTGGGTTGGGCGGATATCGATGGATAATGGACGAGGGGTTGTCTTGTGTCTCGTCTCCCAGGGCCCCCGGGCGGTCGCTGATGCTGCGGTGGGTCCGTTGGTTGGCTGCCAGCAGTACGTACCCTTGGAGTTGTCTTGGTAAAGTGGTTATTACTGTCTAGGTACTGCGTAGGTGCAAGGCCCCCAGATGACGAGAGCACCACGGGATGCACGCAAGTACCTCACTAAAGCAAGGTACGCGATGCAGCGCTCGCACTGCCGCAGTTAGCTCAGCCCATGAGCGTGGAGGAACACCACTGAGGTCTGCTATTCGCAGGAAGAGAGGCCTGGCAGTCGACTCCCATGAACAGCAATAAAGCCAATGGGGGCCGTTGAGGCGCATTAAACAGATCCAACAGGCGACAGCCCCAGATCCCAGCAGGCCAGCCCGCGTTACAGTTAAACCTTTCGACAACAGCAGACGTCGTCCCTGTGTTACCTCTGGGGCCTCCCGCCCTCCCGCCCCTCCGCGACGCAGATGGGATACTCTGTTATGCTAAAATTACGTCTCGCAGTTGGTGGACGAATATGTGTGTTGATGTGATGGAGTCCTTCCTTCGTCCATCCCGGCTCTCTCGCGGGCGGTGCTCTCATTCTCGCAAACTGACAATCGAAGTACCAGGTCGGCCTTGGGTACTTTGCCCTTCCGCTGGCCCCCCTAAGAATGTTTCCCTCCGGGACACTGAAAAAGTTCATCCGAGCGCTGTAACGAGGGTCTTCCCAGCGTCTTGACTTGGAACTGAGGTCATGGCTCATGGCTGGCCGATACATTGACTCTACGCATTCCACAGGCGCTGTCTCTGTCTCCGCCCGAAGAGTCAGTCAGTCACTCGAACAACCTGAATTTGCTGCTCTGGCATGGAGCACTTGTCTACGGATACCGTTTGGGCAGTGTCCTCGCTACGTCCGGCCATTGTCTTCAGCACGCAGCGTCAGCTATGCCCCTTCCGGCCGCCCGTCTCTGCTGCTCACGAGGCAAGATCAAAGACATATCTCTGTTCTCGACCTCCACACGGCTGCAAAGCTTCATCCGACAACGTGTCATGAAAGTGCACTCCAGCCTCCGCGAGCGATGCAAACCTCAGAGGATGGGCAAAAAACGACCAGGCATCCCGCCTGCTGCCAGGCCGTGGTACTTGGCCTCAAGTCGCACAATGTGCCCTATTAAGGCGCAAGGATCAGTCCCTAATGGAACGGAAGCAATGCGCGCTCTGGGTTCCCTTCAACCTCCCGTCAGGCACCGTCATACCTCACCACGCAAGAGAGCCCAGCGCTGCTGTATCAGAAACCCCCGAGTGGCGAACCTGATTGGGCCCCTTCCCTTCAGCCCCCTCAATCCCTTTCCGCTCCCTCGTCGACCTTGCCGGGCTTTCTTGCCCTTGGCTTCTCCAGTATTATCACACAGTCAGCAGCAAATCAGGGGGTTCGGCTTCACCTCAGCTCTCCAGCCGCAAGTCAGAAGTCAAGCCCGCTGAAGCAGGCAGGCGAGAAAGCGAAGGCGAGGAAACACTTCTTCAAGTTCGAGAGCGAACCCTACCCTCCCCTTCGCCTTCGGACCCTCAGCCAATGCTTCATCAGTGCCGATACCAGGGGCAATTAAGTTTCCAGAGAGCCTCTGTGCGCCGAACGGAGCCTTGCCCTGTCCGCGACATTTCGTCTCATGTCTTTGCCTGCCCATCCATCCATCCCTTTCCGTCATTCCACTTCCCGTCCTGCTCCCGTCCTGCTCCCGTCCTGTTGCTCGCTCGGTGCTCTCGCAGTGCGAGCGTCCAAGTTCGAAGCAGGTCGTCGACGGGTTTGCGGGATTCCTTACATTTGACAGCCGGTTCATGCAGTCAGCCCGAGGCAGCGCCGCTAGCCTCCTTCTGATCGCGGAGGGCGACCCCTTGTGATTTTGGCATGTTGCCTCTCATCGGTGTGGATGGGGAGGAAGCATAACTAACTAGCAAGGGCACATGTCCTCGCGGCAGCGGCCACGAAGCTCTGCCATTCGTCGACTGCTCCGGCCATGCTGAGGAGGCCTCTGTCCTATCGTATCCGTTACGGAGTTTCCGCATTCCTGTCTGTCGCCGCCGGCCGTCTCCGGTGTGGGAACTCTCCAAGCAAGGAGGCGAAGCCGTTCGGCCCGGCCGACGTACGGCCAAGGAAGTGGGTGTGGATTCATGTCCGCCGCCCCTCATCCAGCCAGTCGCCTCTTCATGCCGTGCTTCACTCAAGCAGTCAGGTCGTCTTCAGGCACGACCGTTTTGCCCTCACGAGGAACTAATAGACTAAATCACCTTGGAGGGCTGAGCGGTCACAAGCCGGCGTTTCCCTGTGGGGGCCCAAGACGTCCTTCAACGGTCGCCCGTCGAATGAGCGCGCGACTGAACGACCATCCACATGGGGAGATGCAACAACAACCACGCCGTCCAAGACGGGAATGACGGCAGGTTCAACAACACATGAAACCTTTCTTTTCCCTTTTCCCTTTTTCGCCACGATGGCATCGACATCTGCCTCGAAAGGCTAAGCCGAACTCTTTGCATCTTCAGAAGGGTGTCTTGCGGGCAGGCAAGTTCCCGCGCAGATTGTGTTTCCGGGGAACTCTTGCCGCGCCATCACGGAGGGGTCGGTGCTCTCTCTCCCTCCTTTCATCCCATCATCAAGCCAGACAATATTATTCCGTCAGAGCACGACGGCGGGAGAACGGAGGAAAGATGCGATGCGTTGAGATGTGGCTGCCGGCAGTGCGCGTCGGTTCATTTCCAGTGTTTCTCATTCGCTGCTCTGCCTCTTTCCGCAGCAGCAACAACATGCCGCATCCAAAGCAACATCCCCATTGTGCTGCTTGTGTCGTTTTATGTCTACTCTGCCGCGCATTGTGTTGGACCAAGGACGAGCACACACACAGCCCCGCCTCATCCCACGGCGTTGCGCCTTTCCGCCCGCCCGCGCCACGAACCTGCAGTCTGCATCAACACCCGACCATCGATGATCCCGCCTGGGCATGAGGTCGAATTGCGGAGAGGATGTGCTGCGAACTGGTCTGTGGGTGCGAATGGTTCAACGGAACAGTGTGCCACACCAGCCGAACGGACAACGATTCAGTCCTCTTGGCCGTGTTCAATCAATATCGAACGGACCTTACCACTTCATGATTGGTGGCCGTGAAGGAGCTGCGGCGTGCTCTAATTCCTCGGAGGAACGAATGAACGGCCTTTGGGTGACCTTCTTGGGGAAGCACAAGCCACACACACGTTCTGCTGGGATAGAATCACCTGCATGGACCTCCGCCGAATCCGTGAGACAACCAGCTTCTGCTGACATAACTTTGCATAGAAAGCTTCCCACCGCCTTCCCTTTTGAGCGGCAAAGGCAAATCTCCAATCAAGCGCGTCAGGTTCGTCATCGATTGGGCGGTAGTAGCATTCCCGTCGCAGAAGTCTAGTCCGAGGACCTCCGCGCCGGCCTGTTGTGCTTTTGTGCATCTTCTAGCCAGAAAATCACGAGAAACGGTCACAATGTCGAAGAAGGCTACCAATTGGAAGTTATGGGGAAAGATGATGCTGGGGTATGTGCAGCGCTTGAATGACCAAATGCGGAAGAAACGAAAGACTGACGATATGTTTCCAGAGGAGCGGCCATCTGCGTCGGCGGACCGGCCTTCACCATCTGGGTGACCCCGACCGAGGAGGAGCTCTTCAAGCGATACAACCCCGAACTGCAGAAGAGGAGTCTGGAGAACCGTGAGAAGACGCAGGCCGAGTTTGACCATTTCGTCACCAAGTTGAAGGAGTACTCCAAGTCGGACAAGCCGAGTAAGTTCGCGGTGGTTGAATATGTCAGAGGTGGCTTTGCTAACCTGCGCGCAGTCTGGACGGTTCGAGACGAGGATATCGAGAGGCAACGGATAGCGCAGCTTGCGGCGAAGAAGCAAAGGGACAACGACATCAAGGCGCAGCAGGAGGCCATGAGGAAAGAGTCGGGGCTGTAGAGGGGTGAAGATTTTCCATCGCCGTTCGTTCTCAATCGCGAGCGAGGGTTGTATTATACATGACGGACCAGACACCAGGGAGGTGTATATCATAATGGCTGTAAAACAACAGAAGATACCATGAAACCTATGAGGGCTGATCAGAGGCGTTCAAGGAGAGAACTTTGGGGTTGGGTAGTCAGAGAAATCGGCGAAGCCACGAATCAAATGGAGATGGATTCTCGGCTTTTCCATTGTTGCATCGAAAAAGTGATGTTGGCGCTGCAAAATTTCGCGGATATGACCCCTCCACCACCCCTCACCTCCCCGGGTGTGCTTCGGTCAGTCTCGGTGAGATCACACCACACAAGCCTCGGCACATACTATTTCCGCAAGCGAAGAATCTTGGCACGCACAAAACATCCATCTTGACATTGACCATCACCACAGCTCAAGCGGCTCAGCCTTACGACATAAGACGGGACATACGAACGAGTAACGGGTAAGTGGAAAATTCCCCGGCATCGCCAGTGCACCTGTGCAGCTTTTCCCCCCGGCCGCGAAAAAGATTTCTTGGTCGGGCGGCTGGTTCTGCCCGCCGTCGCCTGCGAAAACGAGAGACGATTTTGCTAATTGCCCTGAGGTACCCGCGCACAGCTTCCCTAAACCCGCCCGATTTCCTTCCACCTTACCACCCCCCACTCCCGCCTCAAACCACCACCACCTCCCCCCTCCGCCAAAAACACCACCGTCGATATCGCAACCATGTCGGACGTCCAGGAACGCCTCAAGAAGCTCGGTGCCTCCGCGCGTATCGGTATGTCTACTCTTTGAGCTCTGGAATTGATTTTCCCCGAGCAGGAATCGCTGTTTGACTCGCAGAGCAAGGCTGACAAGGTTGTGTGCGCAGGGTATGTTGTGACCAATCCGCGAAAATGACCCCTCACCACACCTGCCCCCAGCTCTACCTCCGAACCACGAGAGAAATTTGTCACCACCAGACAGAGCACGATTCACCGAACTGCGGTTTTGCTTTTGATATGGGAACATCAGATGGCTAACGTACCGATCCCGACAACAGCGGCAAGGGCACCCCCCGCAGAAAGGTCAAGCGCGCGCCTGCCCGCTCCGCCGCCGACGACAAGAAGCTCCAGGCCGCCCTGAAGAAGCTCAACGTCCAGCCCATCCAGGCCATTGAGGAGGTCAACATGTTCAAGTCCGACGGCAACGTCATCCACTTCGCTGCCCCCAAGGGTATGTCACCATCCCGTCCCCGTGCATGAAGCTGTCGCTGCTGCGGTGTTGTGCTGCCGCCGCACGCGCTGTTTGTCACTTGAGAGAAACATCCCGCTGAGACCTGAACCAATAGTCCACGCCGCCGTCCCCGCCAACACCTTCGCCATCTACGGCCACGGCGAGGACAAGGAGCTCACCGAGCTCGTCCCCGGCATCCTCAACCAGCTCGGCCCCGACTCCCTCGCCTCCCTCCGCAAGCTCGCCGAGAGCTACCAGAACATGCAGAAGGAGGGCAAGGACGGTGAGGAGGACGACATCCCCGACCTGGTCGAGGGTGAGAACTTCGAGAGCAAGGTCGAGTAAACATTTCCCGGGCCGAATTGAGGAGAAATATTTCTGGACCTGATGACACCAACGACAAAACAAAAAAAAACGTAAAACATTTTCAAAATACAAAGCGTTTTTGTTGATGATCATCCCGTCTGTCCCTCTCTTTCTTTTGCCCCTAGGGGAGTTGTCGTCGAGATACCGGGTCCCCGTGGAAAGAAAAAAATGTTTTCAGCGTGTGGATTTTCTTACAAGGAATTTAAAAAAGGGCAAAATTTCCGCGCAACATACTCAAGGAGCGACTGACACGACTGTGCCCACCGTCTTTTTTGCTCTGGGCGAAGCTGGAGGATCTCATGAGGGATTGGTTCAAAGACGAAGGTCTAGGGAAGAAGCGTGATGCCCTTACACATGCGATACCGAGTCTCTGCATAATGAAACATTGCAAAGCCTGGACATGTGGCAGTCTTGTCTAACGTGATGGTGTATTACGCGTATTCCTCTCCTGTCTTTCGTATCGTAAGCCCATTCGAGGTCACCTCTTGGGCAGCTCAAACTTGTCATCCCCGACATTGGCAACCCAGCCAGCCAGAGCCTCCCTCCTCGCCTCCATCTTGACTTCCCGTCTCGCCGCAAGCATCTCGCTTCCTTTGACATCCGCATACGTCACCCCAGCCAGTGCACTCCTCAACCCCTCCCCATCATCTCCGAGCTCATCCGCAATCGCCGCAACCTCCTCCCACATCCTCCGCCTAGACACCGTGCTCGCGCCCCTGGCATCAAACGCCTTGCGGCCCTGCAACACGCCCCCCATCATCCCCTCCTCAAGCCCGCCGGCAGTCCACGCCACAGCCAAATTACTCGCCGCAATCTTCTCCGCGCGTGCCTTCACTTCCCGCTTCGAGAACGCAAACTCCCGCTCCGTGGTGCGCACCTCGAACGGCGCGAACCTGTACCCGCCACTCCACGCCTGGCCGTCAAGACTCGCCATGCGGCCACGCGCGGAGAAGGCCCTCTCGCACCCGGCGGCGGAGTACTGCGTTTCCGGGAGGATGAGAGAGGAGAGATAGGCGTTGCCCGGGTAGATGAGCAGCGAGGTTAAAGAGGAGAGAAGGGAGGTGCACTGCTTCAGGGCGATTTTGTCCGAGCAGGATTTGGACATGGTGGGCGGGGCGTCGCCGCGCGCGGGCTTGCGGCGGACGACGCCGAGGCGGGAGAAGTAGGCCCGTCCGGGGAGTGTGCCGGCGTCTTCGGAGGGAGCAGCGGCGGGCATATCCCACGGCGAAGCGTCCTCCTGCGCGGCCATGGTGAGTTCCATGCTTGCGTCGCCGCAGGGCGCTTCGGAGCAGTACATGTGCAGCGCGACGCCGTCCTGTATTGCGAACGGCTGGGGCGCGTCTGGGGATATCTCGTGATGTTCACGGCGTCTGACGAGGGATGACTCCCCTGACAGGAGCTGGCGGCATTCATCCAGGAGATGCCGGTTGAAGGCGCGGATGGCGAGGACCTCAGCATGCCAGTCGTGGAGGGCGTTCCCCTTTGCCTGGGGGAGTTTGGCGGCCGGGAGACACTTCATGCCTGTCCTGCTGGGTGTTAGTCCAGCTCACATGAAGATGGGAGGCGAGTGAGGGTGGATTTGAGTATTGCCATTCATGCTAGATACATAGTACGCCTTGTGAACCTCGCCGAATCTCATGAAAGAAGTTCCAACGCAAAACACCATGCAACGCCCAACTTACGCAAGAGACAGACACGTCAGGACGCCGTCCCGCTCAGCAACGATGCCGCTCAGGGGAACCCACTCGTGCAGGCCATTGTCTCTGACCGCGGGCTTTCTCTTGGCCGGCAGCTCCCCGAACCGGCGCAGGACCAAGTCAGCAACGGCATTCGGGTCCGCGGCAGCCATGCGTTGCAAAAGCGGTCGTGAGACTCTCACCCAGCAACTCATCCCGTTCGATGTAAGTGACCAGCACCTCGCGGAACCACTGAAAGCGGGCAGGCGGAACTCGTGCACCGCCACAGGGCATCAGGGCAAACACCAGCGCGCCACACGGCAGGCACACAAGTCGGAGCGCACCTTCCTTCCTTCCTTCCCAGTCCGCGCACGTGATTGGCGCTCTTAAGCGAACGACGGCCGTCCCAGAGTGGGGCACCCAGGGCTTTACAACCACCGCACTGAGGGAGGGAGCGAATTCCCCACAACACCGGCCCAAACCGCACCGCCCGCGCGACGTTGCGAAAATCGAATCTCAGCAAAAGAACGTGACGCCTTGGACTTCCTCCTTCGACCTCCCCCCCATCACCGACAAGTCAGCCAACGTTCGCATTCAATACCGCCAATGTATGTTCTTTGAATCCTTGCTGCGGTTCTCTACATCCGTCCCCTTTTTCGAAGACACTTTTCGCTTTCTTCCCACGATCGCCGCGCCGCACCGCGCCCCTGCCACCGAGCCATGAGTCGACGTCACTTTGGTGCTGTTATGTGAAGGAATTTTGCGACTGGACGACGGCTCGTGGGCTTTGGGTCCGGGCGGCATCGTGGGAAGGAAAGAAGTGTTTGCGAAGGGACCTGGACGGATGTGAAAGATGGTTTCACTGTGAGGAGGCTTGCTGACAATCGAGAAGATGCGCACGTACGACGATTCGTTCTCGGGCCAGAGAATCTACCCTGGAAAGGTACGATAGAACCACCATCAGCCAGCTCAGTGCAATCCCCCGTCTCCGCCCACGGCAAACCCAACGTCTTCCCGTCGATCAGTTGTGCAGGATTTGGAGGGGCAACGCAGAAGGAAATCAAATGGGACACGAATCGATGAGAGCAAGGACAACGACGATCGACGGGAACGATGTTGCATGCCGAGGACAGGCAGACTGGGACCACTGGGCAGGCACATCACGCATGGTTGAACAAGGCGCTGACGAGAACTCTGAACACAGGGTAAGCTCTACGTCCGTGGTGACAGCAAGATCTTCCGTTTCCAGAACGGCAAGTCCGAGTCCCTCTTCCTCCAGCGCAAGAACCCCCGCCGCATCTCGTGGACCGTTCTGTACCGCCGCCAACACCGCAAGGGTATCTCTGAGGTATGTCTTCCTTCGTCCTTCACCCCGATGCAGATTGCTGATTCCCCCCGCAGGAGGTCGCCAAGAAGCGCACCCGCCGCACCGTCAAGGCCCAGCGTGCCATCGTCGGTGCCTCCCTCGATGTGATCAAGGAGAAGCGCTCCATGCGCCCCGAGGCCCGCTCCGCCGCCCGCGCCGCCGCCATCAAGGAGTCCAAGGACAAGAAGGCCGAGGCCAACGCCGCCAAGAAGGCCGAGAAGGCCAAGAACGCCGCCGCCGGCAAGGGCCAGACCGGCCGCATCGTCGGCAAGCAGGGCGCCAAGGGCTCCGCCCCCAAGGTCAAGGCCACCACCCGCTAAGATGTCAATCTCTCTGTCTTGATGGAGTAACTCAGTGAGGGGGTTTATGGTCTTTTTTTGGCAAGGGAAGCGTGTGGGCACACCAAAAAGCGAAGGGGAAATGCATTGCGGTTTCCACCCGCCGTAGCCCGGCGGCGCGGCCTCGAGACGGGGTTTGGCGAGGAATGTAAATGGATCAAAATACGAAACGCGTTAAAGCCAGGTCCAACCACCACACACACAATCTGGAGTCGAGGGTTCTTTGTGCTTTTGACGGCTGGTTCTATAACTACACAAATCACGGTAGCACGGAATGCATGGATTGTCCCACGGGATTACCAAGTTAAGACTTGTCGTCATGGATCGGTGGGGGTGATGTTCGCATGCGTGTGATCTGTTGATGTGTCCATAGACTGATGAATGCGATGCTCCCGTGTCGTGTCTCCCCGGGCGTCGATGACCTCGTGTGGTCATAAGCCTCCATGCAGCCCGACCGGAATGATAACGATGCCGCCCGAACAGCGTCGCCTCAGCCGTACTGTCCTAACGCCAGACGATGGCCTGCTCAGGTGGGAGCCATAGAATGCTTTGCCAAGGGAGGCCAGACAGTGCCATCCTCACCCAGTGCAAGTCCTCCGTCAAATAACCCGCGATGTATCCATACGTCGTCACCTTGTCCAAGACGCTTCACCATTTTCACAATGCCATGGAAGCAGAGACAGACTGTGACCCAAAGCGAAAAGGCGAATGAGGACTGATACCGCGATCAACCAACCATCCATCCATCCCATCCGTGCCGCGACATCACCGTCGCACATAAGTCCGTCGAGATGCCGACCATAGGCCCTTGATGCGGTCCGTCTCCCCGTGCTGCCGAACTTACTGCTTACGTCCCAGCCATCGTTGACACCAAACTCACCTTGCAAATCAAGACATGCACATATCAATTGGATGAGAACCAGATTCCCGCTGCGAGCAATCTCTCACACATATGCCACAAGCTGGAAACAAATTAACCCCTTCCGCCGTTCGTAGCACCTACCCATTTCCTACCTACCCGCAACAATTGATGCAAGATCCATCCAGCTAAACGTGAAAGAAACCAGTGGCATTGAAGGGCTCATAAATCAATACAATATGACCCTAGGTACATGAGATGAACTACAGCACGCCCAATCGATCGGATCACCCAACCTTGATGTCCCCCGCGCACGAATCGGAGGACCAACCCCGGCCCCGCGTCGGATTTCCGAGCTCCCATCCCCCGCGCGCGCCGGACACTTGGACGACGCAACGCACATCGACCCCTCATCTCACCAAGCTCTCCCTCCAGACAGCATTTCACATGAGGAACAATACGATGATTTTACTCAAATTCCATTGCTCTAAATTCTAAAGAACGAAAGAGGGGGAATGTCTAAACAACTTTTTTCACCCTTTCTAGGCGTCTTTGTCTAATTTCCTCCCTTTTTCTCTCTAATTGGGGGTTGTGTGTCATCTCGTCATAAGCATTTTATCAAGACCTGCGGCAGGACCTTAGATGGCCTTGAGGACGGGCTCGACGGCAGAGACCTCCTGGCCCTGCAGATCGGGCTCCTTCTCGGCGTAGATGATCTTGCCGTGGTCGACGACGATGGCGTAGCGGGCGGTGCGCTCGCCGTGGTTCCAGCCGATGGAGGTGGAGAACTCGGCGTTGTTGTCGGTGCAGAAGATCTGTGGGAGGCCGGTGTTAGTCTTCATTGTTTCTGATTGCTAAAAAGGACACAGTTGCCCGATGATGTGATTTTCCCGCAACGATCAAGCTTCCTGCTTCTCCTGTGGTATCATAATCGACCACTGGCGGAGGGGCTGACGAAAGTGGGCTGGCGGGGTGGGGGCAATCATTTTTATCGGAGTCGGTGAGGGCCCCACGGAAGGAGGGGGAGGGGTAAACAACAACAACATCCATGGAACGTGGTGATGATGTGGCAGGAAAGAACAGCAACCGAGAAAAGAACTCACGATGAAGTCGTCGGTGACGTTATTGGCCTTGCCCCAGCCGGACATGACGTAGGGGTCGTTGTAGGCGAGGAAGATGACCTGGTCAACGCCCTTGGCCTTGAGCTCGTCCTTCTTCGCGATGTAGCCGGGAAGGTGGGCGGCGGAGCAGGTGGGAGTGAAGGCGCCGGGGAGGGCGACGATGATGACCTTCTTGTCCTTGAACTCTGCGCGGGGAGGCGATCAGCATCGTGGCCCAAAGGACAGCAGAAGCAGAGGAGAGGAGGCGCGACGTGACTTACCCTTGGCGGTGTCGTACTTGATGGGGATACCGCAGACCTTGAAGTCAGAGGTCTCGGCCTGGTAGGGGATGTACTGGAAGTTGACACCCTCGGGGAACTGCTCGCCGGCCTTGATAGGAGCCATTGTGAATGTGTTTGGATTGGTGGTGATGGGGAAAAGGTTGAGTGTGTGTGGTTTGTGTGGTTGTGGTTGAAGGAGAGAGGAAGCAAGCCCGGGGGAGGAGGAGAGAAAGGAGCTTCAATTAGTAGTCTGAGGCTGGCACCAGGTTTCGCAGCAACCAGCGGCGGCAAAGACGATCGTCGAGTCAGGGTCCCGCGCTGAATTCTGCGAGATTCCACGTCGAGGGAAGTGGAGCTGCGCCGATGATTTGTATTTCTGTAGATAGGCGCGGGGCGGCCACTCTTTCCTGGGACGGCAGGCCCGGTTATGTTCGACGTGGAAGTGGCCTCCCCTCCAGTTGCCCCTCCACTCCCCCCCGAAGACCCCCCCGCGGCAGCTTCCCTCTGGTCGCCGCTCCTCTCCTGCCTGCTTCTGCAGTTTCTGTGACAAAAAAGAAGTGGGCGCTGCTGCTGTGTGAGGTGCTGCTTTCCGTACCTTTGCAAGTAGGCTGGTCAGGTACCTTACATTCGACGCGGCGGAATACGACGGGGATCCAGCCTGGCCCGGCCCCAGCCATCACGATGAGATATTTCCAGTAAAAACTTCCGGCCCCGATAAGACGGCGACGGGTACCTCACCTAGGGTGGGATACACCAAAAAAAGCTAATTAGACATTTGCTATCTTCTGCACGTTCGACACACCAAGGACCAGTTTGCGCACCTCTTTGGTCCACAGGCCTGGACATGACGCAAGACCGGCCGTTTATGCCGCGTCCGTTTGGATGTGGCACGTCGCCCAAACCTCCGATCCCCGGCGCGCCCCTCGTGGTCGACCTCCCCGGTGGGGGCCGCGCGAAGGCCTCTGAGGTCTCGGCCGTCCGAGCTCACACTGCCTGTTTTTCGGCCCATCCCTGGGGGGCCTCTTCGGAGTTAATTCGCCAAGCCCTGGCAAACCACAAATTGATTTGAGTTAGTGAGAAGTCTGGTTTGTCATCACGGACAAGGATCGGGACGGGTCGTCGAGATCCGGCGCGCCTGATTTAAACATGTGTTGATGATGTGCAGAAGCTACAGGAGCGTTCGTTGAGCAGTCGTCCAAAATCGCCGGGTGAGGTACCGAAATGCAGCGTTCCCGGCTGGTACCTGATTCACGGTGATGCGCCGTGCGCCTGATGTCGCCTCAGTCTGGGCGCGGCCGGCGTCGGACCCTGACTAATGCCTGGCTCCCACGATGTCAGATGATGCAAAAGAAATGAGAAGGAAAAAAAGTTTTGAACGCCCTCAGCCTTGTGACTCTGCAGCTGCAATTGTTAGAATTCGCCGCCGTCCTTCGTTCACCGAGACCAGACCCCGCGGCATCTGCCCAAATCCCACACGGGCGTCGGTGACAGCTGACAGAAACCGATATCCCTGTCGGATCGTGCCGTGATTGGTTGCTTCGTCCGTTTGTCGCGTGCATCTCCCGAGTTCACAGTTGCGTCATATTCGTACATCACTTGCGCTCGACACAGTCCAGCCCGCCAAACCATCGTGCAGAAAGGCGTTGTTCATAGGAATTAAAACAAGACGCTGTAATTATGGCCACACAAGACGAATCACGACCTCCCTTCCCGCCCTTCACTGAGGAAACGGCGAGGACCAAGGTCAAGGCGGCCCAGGATGGTTGGAACACCAAGTCCGTGCTCTCCATCTCAGTGAACGCAGAAGACTAACATGCGCAGGAACCCGTCCAAAGTCAAGATGGCATACACGCCAGACACCATCTGGAGGAACAGGGACACCTTCCTGCAGGGCCGGGACGAGGTCGAGCAGTGGCTGACCAAGAAATGGGAAAAGGAAAATGGCTACCGCCTCCGAAAAGAGCTATTTGCCTTCACCGACAATAAAGTGAGTGACGTGCCGAAAGATTCCGAATTCCAATTTTTTGAAAAGGCATGGCTGACGACGTCCAGATTGCTGTTCAGTTCTGGTATGAGTGGCATGACGAATCGGGCCAGTGGTGGCGGACCTATGGCCTGGAGGATTGGACCTTTGCAGAAAACGGTCTCATGCGCAAAAGGCAAATGAGCGGGAACGACGTGAAGATTGAAGATGCGCAGAGGTGGTTCAAGGACGGCGTGGATGTTAATACCGTCGACATCTCCGAAAAGAACTGGTGATGCTCGAAGATGTCTGCTGATGGGCGCCCCTGAGCTAAGGTGCTGCATGGAGCAATGTCTCGTATTTCCCGCCGACTATTGTGTCACGACCGGGGATGGAAGGTATCAGAGACTTTTCGTCCCGAAACTATCGAATCGTGAGAAGTTTTACGTGCCACAAACTTCATCAGGAGGAATCCATGAGCGCCCATGGAAATTTATGTTGTTGTTTAAACATGTTTCGTTTGCTGCAAAACATACCTCCGGCTTTGACGATCCGAAGCCACGCACGTTCAATGTCCAGCTGCGAGACATGTCTTTAAGTCGTCAGAGACATTCGCATTCTTTCCGGGCTTCCATTATAAGCCGCTCACAAGTGATTCACGAGGAGGAAATCTGCTTGCCTGGACAGCCACAGGCTGCAGACGCAACCCAGGCCGTCGGCGAGGACCTGTGTCCATACAGATGGAGAGGACTGCGCCAGCCATGGTGGACGTTAGTTGAGATCGTGACAGGAGCTTGGCGCCACGACCCAAAGATACGGACTGGGGTGGAGGCGCGGGCTCAGCAAGAAGAGCGGCCCCTGCGGGAGAGCAGAGCCAACGGTCCAGACTGTGGAATGAACCTAGCCCAAAGCTAGCTCCAGATACTGCTTATTCGTCGTCTCACCAACCGAAACGTTCGTCTAACTCGACTCTTTTTGGCTCGAGGATGGAGGTCAAAGGCTCACTCACCGAGAAGACGCGGTCGGCGCAATGCGGACAACATGGGCACCCAGCTGCCCCGATAGGCGAGCCAATGCCAGACGTAGCTGGCATCTGTCCGGGAGATCCCCCTCCTCGGGCCGGGAACAGCGTCGCAATCGGGAAAGTGACGTGTTACCCGGCACAGGGATACTGTGCAAGCTGTCGCCGCCTGGCCCAATGTAGAGGGTCGCTTCGGCGCAGAAGCAATGATTTGCACCGGGATGCCGTCAGCTCTTCGAGCGGCATGTCGGCATCAAAACTTGGACATTGACTGGAAGAATGTCAACGATCTGTTCAACCGTTGAGGCCGGTGACTGCAGCACCTTCTGTACTGCGTATCGTTGCCTCTTTTGTCGCCTCTGTAGTCCACCCTCCCATCCCGTAACTTTGAGGGCCAACTGCATTCTCAGAATGGGGGTGTCGTCGTATGCGTCCCATTGGGTCTCCTGGCGCGACGTTGAAGCACGACTGGGTCATTGTTTCTTTCCCAAAATACTGGTCAATAAGGAAGAACCACTGAAATCCGGTCCATTCGGATGACTAGTCAATCGAGTTGCACGGGCAGGGCGTGATCGGGAGCGCAATCGAATCGGTTGTCGCACCGCAAGACAAAGGCGGAGGTCGGCGAAGGTAGTCGGCGAGGCTAGCGAGATAGCCGGGGTCGAGGCGCTGGTGCCAGTTTTCTTTGATGATGGAGTCTCCTGGTCTAGACCGCATCTAGTTGGTGTCTGGATGCAACAAGCTGGAGATTTTGCCGGTCGGGGTCTTGATTGGCTGTTTCCTTCCAGCAGGGGGTTGATGGAGCGATTCGCGAGAAGACATGATCGAGGTGCCCTTGGTCAGGGAGCAGGAGACAGCGGTTGGTGCAGACGTTGCCATTTTGCTCGTAGCAAGACTGGCAATCAACTCGATTGCATTCGGACATGTATGGGCACCAAAGAGCCGCCATACACGGCGAGAAGAAACAATTTCGACGGACATGAGCAATGCCAAGCGTCGATTATCCTCCCAAGAGGCAGTTGGTGAATCCGGTGCGTCGATCTGGCCCTGGAGGTCGGCTCATTGCGATCAAGGACCATTGTTTCTCTTAAACCTCATGATAGAAACGTGGGTGCGGGCACGCGATCTGCAGATCGTTTGTTCTCGGGGACAATTGCATGACAGGGCTGAGCAGGACAAAGTCAAGGACTGGCGCAGAGTAACGGCGAAGGTTTGGGGTCGATATCGAGACTAGAGAATGCGACACGATCGATGGTTGGAGACTCCTTGTTGGGCTGGCAGGCGCTCTCGTCGAGGACGATGGGTCAAGCTGGACAGAAGATGGATGGTGCTGATGCCACTGGTGTTGTTTAGAATGGAAGATGGCTTCACACTTGGACGGGAGCTTTCCTCGGTCGTGCCTGGTTCGACGACGGACTGGCAGGCACAGATCGAGGCTGGATCCAGCAGGGGCAAGGACAGGGGCAGGGGCAGGGTCAGCTCTTGGCCCCAGCTCTGCACCTTTTGCGGGAAGCAGATGTCTGCATCTTGATGCAGAGCAGCTGAGGGAAGGTTCTCACCGGACAAGCGCCCACCCCTGTTTCCTGTTTGGATGGGTGGCAGGAGGCAGCTACTGATCTGTGCATGTGCTTCGGTCAGCAGAAGCAGCACAGACCATGTCAGCCCGAACTTCTTGCCCCTTGCTCCTGTTCCTAGCTTTTTGGCGGCTAGCTTCCTCTTGCCCCTCTGAGGTGACTGACTGACTTGCGGATTGAAGCCTGAGTGAGTGAGGTAACTGCTTGTGTTTCTCCCTTTACGCAAAGTGAAAACAAGCAAGCCTCCAAACGCCTCACTCGACACCACGACCACACAGTCCCAACTTGACCAGTTGTCTCCCCCTCCTCCACTGCCTGTTCCCAGCTTGTCCTGCCCGCCTCGCCTGGGACTACTGGTGGACGAGGCGGTTGTGCTCGTTGAGCGACCCTCTCCAGTGGCTCTCCCTGGTCCAAAGTTAGGTTGGACGAAATGCGGACTACCCAATAAATACCTTCACCTTTCTTTTGTCGCGAGATATCGACTTCGGTTGGTTACCAGCGCGCCGTCTTTCTTTTCTTTTCCAGAAGATTTTCGTAATGGATGATCTGACTGACCCGCTGAGACT